ACTGGGTAGCTTAAAACATAAATTTATTGGCTGAATGTGGTGACTTACACCTGTAATCCCAGCACTTTGGGAGGCCGAGGCAGGCAGATCATCTGAGGTCAGAAGTTCGAGGCCAGCTTGGCCAACATGGTGAAACCCTGTCTCTACTAAAAATACAAAGATTAGCCAAGTGTGGTGGCAGGTGCCTGTAATCTTAGCTACTCGGGAGGCTGAGTAAGAAGAATCACCTGAACCCAGGAGGCAGAGGTTGCAGTGAGCCAAGATTGCACCATTGCACTCCAGCCTGGGCAACAAAAGCGAAATTCTGTCTCTCAAAAAAAAAAAAACACACACACACACACACACATAAATTTATTATCTCATAATTCTAGAGGCTGGAAGTCCAAGATCAAGGTGTTGGCAGGGTTGACATCTTCTAAGGTCTCACTCCATGGCTTGTAGATGGCTGTTTTCTCCCCGTGTCTTCACATGGTCTTTCCCCTGTGCTTATCTGTCTCCTTATCTCCTCTTCTTACAAGGACATCAATTACATTGGATAAGAGCACACCCTAACAGCTTCATTTTAATTTAATTCCCTCTTTAAAAGCCCCATCTCCAAAGGTAGGCACATTCTAAAGTAGTGGGAATAAGAACTTCAACATACAGATTTTGGAAGAGACATAATTCATCCCATAACAACCTATAGGAAGGGCTCATGCTTCAAATATCATTTTATAGATAGATAAACCAAGACAGAGACGCTGAATGTCTTGAGGCACAGGTCATGTTACCTATCCCAAAGGCTTATCTTCTTAATTTTAATACACCTTTAAAATACACCTGTAGGGACATCACTCCAGCTAGAATTTTAGCATTCAGAGAGCGAGCTTTTACCACTAATCTCCCCCAGAACTTGCTTTGCATTGAACAATTAAGTTACTAAAGTCATTCAAGAATGGAATTTGTCTTCTCCACACAATTGGTTCCTCTGAAAATTAATATTATCCCATATAAGGGTCACTCTCTTGAACCAGGTTCAAAACACAGATATATATATATATATATTTTTTTTTTTTTTTTTTCACTGAAGCAGTTCCTTGCTCTGAAACTCTTTCCCTTTTCCTATCCTGAACCAGGCCTAATCACTAGAAGAACATTTGGAGGTTTCTTCTAACTCTTGCTCTTGAGCCTAATAAAAGTCTTAATACATAAATCCCAGATTCCACTTCTCTAGTACTACCACTATCCCCTCATCCCCAGAAAAATAGAGATATGGGGAAGGGGGACTAACATTTCTCAGATATCTACCATGTGTTAGACATGAGGGCAGGTGCTTTCACAGATAGCTTCTTTACTCTAAACCATACCATAAAGTGTGTTTTATGTTATCATTTTATAGATAAACATTTAGACTAAATATTAGGCTCCAAGAGCCTAAATACCTTGCCCAAGTCATGCATTGGAAAGTGGAAAGGACAGAATTGAAATGACAGACATGCCTGACTCTCCAAAACCTAGCTTCTTTCCATTGGCCTACAGTGCTTATGTATAATGGGCATCACAGAGACAAGCCCCAATCCAGCCCACTCTCTCCAAAAGTCCCCAGGTTCAAAGGTGTAGATGTTCATAGTCTTTACTCCCTGACTTTCATACCCCATTTATGTGTCTGAAAAAAGGTTCTATCCACTGTCTTAAAATACCCATATCATATAGAAGGTTGGCACTCTTCTGCACATGCTTGTTTCCTGTTTTATGAGCTTCAACATTCTTCATTTGTTTTATCAGTTAAAGTCTTTTCTTTGCCAGCTCATCACATCCTGCACTGAGGGCTGTTAAATCTGCACAGGCCCCCTCCCAGAGGAAGTTGTGGGAACTGGGCTGAATGCAGGCTCCCTTCTCCGGTTGCCTCTTTCAGGGGTGCCACTCAGTGACTGACTGTTTCCCCAAGGTCCTGTGACTCTGAAAACCAGTTCTCCACTCCCCAGGCAGATTGCTATCTCTCAAAGAGCTGGATTGCAAAAACAAACCTACGTAAAAGCTGCCCCTTCCATTTGCAATACAAACTTTCAGCCAGATCTGCCAATGGAATGAATGAAATGGGTGAAGAGGTAGAACGAGATGACAAAATACTACCTGGCTACAGTATGCAGGTAAAAATGGATTTCTTTTTAAAGAATGATATAGTTTAGATGTTTGTCCCCTCCAAGTCACAGGTTGCAATGTGATCCCAAATGTTGGAGGCGGGACCTAATGGGAGGTGTTTGGGTCATAGGGATGGGTCCCTCACAAATAGCTTGGTGCCCTCCCCATAGTAATGAGTGAATTCTCACTCTATTAGTTCACATGAAAACTGATTGTTAAAAAACACCTGGCGCCTCCTTCTCTCCCTCATTTTCTCTCTCACCATGAGACACACCTGCTCCTCTTCCCTTATGCCAAGCTTTCTGAGACCTCACCAGAAGCCCCAGCAGATGCTGGCACCACGCTTGTACAGCTTGCAGAAGCATGAGCCAAATAAACCTTTCTTCTTTACAAATTACCCAGTCTCGGGTATTCCTTTATAGCAATGCAAAATGGACAAATACGAAAGGCTATAATGGAACCACAACCATTGAGTCATTGACTTGTGACATTTGCCAGGAGGGAGAAATCCATAGCTATAAAATTTACCTTCAATTGAGTGGCTCAGGGCTGAGATCTTTCTGCCTAGGGTTCATGCCTGGATACTGGAATCACAGCAAGACAGTCATCCAAGAGCCTGGGCAGTGCCTTCCTAACAGATAGCCCCTCTACTCCACCCTGTCATCCTCTCCACATTTCTCTGAGTCTTTGGTTTCCTTAATAAGACTAACCATTGTTCTCCAAAACAGAAAGCTGTGCATTAAGCAGTATTTATTATCTTTACTGTCACATACCAGATCCAGCCCCATCACCCCCACCAGGTATGCTAGGCCTTCCAGAATCTGACATACTCTCCTTCTATGGCCAGCATGGCCTCCGCTTTCATTAGGCTGCTGTCTGCATGGTCTCCCATGAGTGCCTTCTTTACTCTTTACTTCCCTCTCTGGAGTGCTCATGCTCTCCTCCAGGCCTAGAATAAGCATCTGTTCAAATCCTTTCCAGCAATTAGGCCCAGCTCAGGTTCTACTTGCTCTGAGATCACCATCCAATTCCACAATTCTCTGATATATTCATTACATCAAGTCTTTGTGTAATAATTCAATATTGGATAAAACTTTTATATCATCTTTTTCTGTGGATAGATACTTGGTCACAAGCAGAGGACTAAGAGAGACTTCTTTTTCTTCACTTGAACCCGTCAATGTAGGCACATACAGTAAGAAACCAGTAACTATTTATCTGAATTAAACTTATTGAGTGAGAAGTTTCTCTTTCTTCGTTCTTCCACCTAGAAAGGTTCTCTTTTCCCGCCTTTTCAAAGACTAATTGAATCAGAATCTCTGGGGGTAAGGCTCAGGGTTTCATGGTTTTAGAAGCTTCCTAGGTGATTTTTAACGCATTTCAGTGCTGGAACTCACTGTTCTTTATGGTGGTTCACCACGAGATACAGTCAGTTCTGCTATAATGCTTGTTTTGAAAACAAGAATTTGTTCTAACTGGATGGATATATTAGGGAATAATTTGAACAGAACATGAATTTCATGTTTGCTAATACGTGATACCATCTTCAAGAAACATTAGGTGAACCCAGAAAACTGTATGTACATGAATCAAGCCATGTAGGGGTATACAAAACATGCACACACGCATGCACACACACACACAAACTTCAAACATCTACCACCTCTCTCAATTCACTGCATGTGTTATAAGCCATACCAATTTACTTCTGGTGTTACAACTTTCTCTCAATGTCAGATAACCTTCCTTCACAATAACTAACAAGCTGCAACCTTTTTGACAACCACTTCCAAAAGCAAATTTCAGATCTTTTTCAATGAAAAGTGTGTGTGTGTGTGTGTGTGTGTATATATATAGTCATATTCATATATTTCTTGACCACTTAGCATGAGTAAAACTGTGCTATAATTTTTATTCAGTTACCTTTTTTAACGTGTCTCTGACAAAGTTTTGCCATGTTTTATCTCCAATCCATTTTCCCCATAAGCTCTGTGGTTTTTATTGCCTATTTTGCATAGCGAGGTGATTTTTGAAACGCATATGTGGCCTTATTGCAGAACTGACTGCACCCAGTACTACATTTCTCTTACTATGTGCTACAAAGATGGAAAGCTTTGGAAAATACGGAAAAGAAAGAAGACTAAATGGTATTAGTATATGAAAATTATAGATTTGGCCTTGTTACAGTATCAAATAAATCTACTAAACCAAAGGCAATTATTTGGCTTGGAATTGCATAATGCTCAGGAATTTCTGGATTGAGAGAAATAAAAGTTGTTTTTATAGTAGCAAGGGTCAGAAAGGAAATGTGAATCAATAAATTAATGCTAAAGAACTTTTATACATCTAAAAGTTAAATTCATGTCTCTCCAATGAACATTTTATTTTCATTTCATGAGAGGAGAAAAATTTGCAATTGGCTGAGAATTTTCACCCTTTAAATAATTACTATTTAGTTTGAAACCAGATCTTATCTTGTTTCTAAACCAATACTAAAGGTTTTGACAGGAGCCCTGCAAAGAGATATTCATTCCATTGTTTTGTTGTTTGTTTTATGAAAAAACATGACCACTAATCGGCTTTTACGACTTCCACAATTTGAACAGAGTGCTCTACCCATGCATATGCCCATCTTCAATCCTGAATGCCTCACTATAAAGCCAAATAGGTGATAGAAATTTCGTTGAGAATCCCTGAAAGACGCTAGTGTTCTTTGCTAAATATTTCCAGGTTCCCGCCCTGTGAACGCACGGCAGGATTGCATTCTCAGGCCTCCTATAGGTATGGTCAATGCACTGAGGTGGACTGATAGCAGCACTGGTGCCCAAGAATGTGTGGTACCAATGGACAAGCCCATCTCAAATGAACTCACACATGAGCAAGTTGTGAAAGGTACATATATTCATTTTTACGTCTAAAATAACAACCAGAATCTTCTTTATATATAGTATTTTTAAAAGACACACACACACACACACAGACACAAACACATGCAGGTAGACACAAACACACAAATAGTAATACCTACAAGAATATTTTTTTTCCTGTTTCACAAATAAGGAAACTTGGATCCTAGAAGCTAAATTAGTTTACTCAAGGTCTAAAATAGACTAAAAAAATCAGCATATTAAACAGTTCTCTTACTTTTCTTCTGTTCCCTATCTTTAGGAAACATACCATGACTTAACTGTCTCCAAAGTAGACTCATTGTTCCTCTTGCTACCCCACACTGCCACTCACACCCCCAACCCTACTCCTAAAATTGGATCTAACCCTCACTGTCCAAAGTACCCAAGATCCACGCAGAGTGATGGAGGACTGAGCTATGGAGCCACACAGCAGGCCTCAGGAGTGAAAGACAACCAAGCCCAGCAGGGCCTCACAGGCCCCAGCTGGCCAACGAGACCATAAAATGGCTTGCAGGTTGACCCTTAATCTAGCCAAGATTGACCAAGAAGCCAGCCTCTTGCAGGACGTGGGTAGGTCAAAGAGTCCCTAAATCACCCTCCTTAAAGCTCAGTCAGCAAATGATATCCTCATTTTTTCTTCAGCAGACCAAGAGCTTTGGAGTCACTCCTGACCAGAAGAGAAAGTATTCCAAGGAAGCATGACCATTCCTTCTCACTCCAGCCTGCTTTCCATGTCCTCTTTCTCCCAATCTCCCCTCTTGGTCTCAGGACGTCCATCAAAAATGGGGCAGCCTGGGAAATATGGTTGAAAAACAATTAATAGCAAGAATAACAGCTTGCATTGGGTTTTTAACGTGTTAGCTCATTTACTCCTGAAACTGTCTTGGGAGGCCAGTACTATTATTAACTCTGCTTTACAGAAGATGAAATGAAGCACAGAGCCATTGAGTAATTTCCTCAAGGTCACACAGTAAAAAGGTGATGCTCTCAGCTGCAATTTTTGGTGCCTTTGCCTTCTCTGGGCTGCTCCTTCCACCCTAAACTTGGTGCTCAGTGCCCTCCCTCCTCCTCTGCTGTTCGAACTTGGATTCTAGAATGCCTCTGCTGCTATGAATTTACATTGTAAACCGTGTTGCTTCCCTTGTGGTATTTGTTCAACCAGTCTCATTTATTATTGTAGAGTGAAAAAATCTGTATCCTTTTAGTGATAAACCAACACTAAACAGGCATAAACAAATATGTGGAAGACACTGGAGGAACCCAGCGCCTTCCTGGTGCCCCCGGAATCTAACAGCCTGCTTGTCCTGCCTTTGATATGAACAACAGAGGGTGCTGTGGAGCTGTGGCCTCCAACAGAGTGCCGTGGCCCTCTCTCCCCTGCCTCCCAGGATGGGGTCCCCCCGTGAGAATCTATACCCAGAGCTAAGTTCCCTGTTTCTCCACCTCTGCAGTCCTCCTTCCCTGACCCTGGGACCACCTGACAGACCTGTCTCAACCCTGTTTCTAAGAACAATTCTGACCTGCATTCATTGGGATATGAGGAGGGTCCCCCAACCCTGGAAGCCTCAATTCTCCTTGCAAGTCCAATTCTGACCTCTCAAGCCATTTCTCGGATTGAGAGGCTGAGACCAGGTCAGCCTTCAATCCTGTATTTTTGGTAAAGGTCTGGAACACTGCCTTCCCCCATGGTTCAGCCCTGCCCTGGACCACCACCACTCCTGGTGCTTACCAAATAACCCGAGTGTGCCTGGGGTTTTTCCCTGAACCCTGTGCATGGGGCCCCTCTCTCTGCTGAGGGACCCCCCTGGTGCTGCTACCCTCCACTCTGGACTTTGGAGGATGATCTAGTGTGAATTTCTTAGCCCTGTACTGTAATCTTTGTTGGGTCTTCAACACGGTCTACCACGATGCAAGCTGTGATTATAGAGCCCTTCTGATATCACGTGAGTCCAGATGTGAAAAGCATAGGACCCAATACTGAGAAAATTCAATAGGCACAGAGCCACCTACAAGGGACATGCTCAAAGAATCCAGTCCTCAGTTCCTCGCCTACCTCTTATCACTTCCAAAATAGAGCCAAGTTGATAGTTAGAGAATTACGTGATGAAGTCTTCATCATGGAGTATTGTAAGGGCATTCCACCTCCTTCCTGGACTTCCTTCTAATACTGGCAGACTCCTTTGTACATCCCCAACCCTAGTTAGTATAGCTCCTGATCTTGCCTTCTCCTGTGTTTCTCCAACATGGACTACAGCCAACCAAGGATCCCCAACCAGCTGGAGATAAGGCCTTCACTACGCACTTCTTCCCTTGAAAGGCTGGACACAGTATCCCCCAAAGGCAGGGCCTCCTCCACCTGAGACAGTCTGATAAACCTAAAACAAGTGGTTGTTTAATTAGGACCTTAATAGAAAGGCCAGCTGTGTTTTTAATAGGTCATTTGAATTAGTGACTCTCTATTAGTGGCAAATTAAGAAACGTTATAGCGATGTTTCATCCTGGAGGAAGCTGACAGACTAGGAAATGGACAGCGAGCAGGAGGATCAACCTTTGTAAAGTTCTCCTATAAAATTCCAAATATGATGACAATTATTAAGGGTAACAGGCCTATGTTTTCCTCTCCCTGTTTTCCCAGCACTCACACATGCCACTCCATGTATACGACAGAGCCCTCCTCCTCTCTCTCCCTCTCCCTGTACCTCCCATACCAGCACAGCATACGGTTTGCAGGGTCTGTAACATGGATGTCCCTTAAAGGTTTTTCCAACTCAGAGTGTCTTTGGTTCCATGAGATTCAACCCCTTGTTTTGGCCCGTTGCTCAATATATGGACCATGACTCAGAAAAGTAAAGAAATATAAAAAGGACGTGGCTGCTGCCAAATGGTATTTTGTTTGAAAGTCTGAGACTCTTCTATAACAATGCAGAAAGGCCATGAAACCTTTCCAAGCAAAACCATTCCCAAGGTTGATCATCCCTGCCCACATTCCCCCAGTACCTCTCAGGCTTCTGGCTGCCATTTTTGTGACTTATTCTCCTGCTTCCTGGCTGTCTAATGTGTGTTCTCCCCTGGTTTCACCTGTGCAGAAATATGTCTCTGGGGTTGGCTATGAGTAGGTAGCTAATTTGCCACAACCCCACCCACACCCGCTTAGGAATGATTCTGGATTCCACTTCATTAGGAAAGACAGACCTGTCGCTTTGTGATTCCAATCAATCAAGTGTTCTTTTTCAACAATGGGGCTATTATGAGTGTTACTACTCACTGACAAGATGGAATTAAGGTATGTGAGTACTGTGGACAGCAGGTGTGATGGTTTGGTCATGTAAGCTGAGATGACATAGGTTTTAAAGAAAATGTACATACTTTCATTTATGTGCTAGACAATCAAGATGTTTCCATTCTCTGAAATGTATGTCCCCCGTTCCCTTCCTACCTCATTCCGGCATCACATAGCAGGCAATAGTGTGGTCACAAGGGGTACTGGTGGATTGATACAAATTGCAGGTGAAATTTCTCTTTGTATTTTTAATACTCACATTTCATCCTTGAAGATTCATTAATTTAGATCCATTGGTTGGGCTTAATGATGCATTCTAAGTGGGGGAAAAATAACAGTGGTGGTAATGAGTAATGATATTGACTAAATGTATATCCCTCTCTAGAGATAAACATGTGAAAATGAATACATGAGAAAGAGTACCCACATTGATATAGCTACACAAAACTAAATTATCATATTTCACTGAATTGAAGTGTAAGCTACATCATTATTTTTATGTTCTGCTAAACAACAAAAAGAAACAAAACTTTCCAATTAAACTCTGACATGCCATTGAATATAAGATACATTCCAATTTCAGACACATTAAAAGATGAAGAAAATGCCTATCTTAGAATAGATAATCTATGATACTAAAAATCACACTCAATGCTATCTAACTATAAATGGTAGTTATCAATGTATCCAAAAAGTTTTTGTTTTTAAGGAAGGGACTCCTAATGTGAATCTGTAGGTTAAACAAATAACTTCTAATTAATAAAGTAGTATCAGCAGTTTTACTTGGTGCTTTAAGAGACTGATAGCCAGGCTCAAAGTCTCCAAGATCTGTAAATACACAGATACTCCAATCCAAGAGAGTATGGTTTACTCAAAAGAGTCTCAAGGAGAATGGAAAGAGATTTCAATGCCAATTGTTCCTTGTTGTGATTCTGCTACTGATTAGCTGGGTGGCCCTGTGCCCATCGCATAAGCATTCTGGGCTTTGACTTCCATACCTGTAAAATGAATGAGTTGGACTAGAATCTCATTTCTAACTCATTTGTCATTTCACAGCTCTCACATTTTATGAATCTATGATCCTGAGTTCATGTGGTCCCATCTTGATGGGTTCAAATGTCAAGCTGAAATACATCCAACATGAAACATTCTCTTGAAGGGTATATTCCACTGACCTTCAGTTTTAGCAGAATACTCCAAATTTATCGAATGAAGAAATGAATGAATTATGCTCTATTGATCCTCTTCGACCGCAGATCCTGAGTACTGAGCTATGGTATTTGTCTCTGCATAACTGGTGAGGACATGGACCCTCCAGGGCTGAGACTAAAAGGGGAAAGCTTACCTCAGCTGCCCTTGATTTCCCCTTCAATGAAGACATCCTCATCCTCAAAGCATCTCTTATCTAAAGAAGCAATGACAGTAAGAAGTACCTCACGGATGTTGTAAGAAACAACAGAATCACCAGGGCTCAGATGCCTGTCCTGAAACTTTAAGACCAGTAACCCTGGCAGAAGCAATATCAGAGGACTTAGCATAGTGACTGGCAAGTAACAAGATTTGGATAAAAGCTAGCATGTAGTTTTAATTAGATTTCAGATTTGGTATTAACATTAAAATTGTGATTATGATTTCCATTTTTTTCACCAGCAGTACTCCTCCTGTTGACTTGATAAAGAGACTCCTGTTGACTTGATAAAGAGCAAGAAATGACAGAATATTGGTTTTGTTTTATTTTGTTTTTCCTTTTCACAGCTGATTCCTCAAACCATCCTCACAAACTCAATTCCCCTGGACTATGCTCTCCAATCAAAACTGCTTCATCCTCCTGCTTCCCCCAGCCACATGAAAATCACTGATAAGGAGGAAGCAAATTCAAATTACCTTGTGATCCATAATGGTTCCAAACAGCAGGATGAAAAAACCCTGTGGCAAAATTCAACAGACTCATGAGGGATGGTTTTTCAAAAAATATCTCAGCTGTTATTTTCATACCACTCTTCTAGATACCTCCTAGGGCAGTTATTGGACATTAGAAACTTCAGTTTCCACGAATGCAGATAATAATGCACTGATGGTTGTTCCTTTGAGTCTGCCCCCACCCTTGGAAGAGGATCATCGCCTGCACAGGAATGTACAGGAGGGTTATTGATATTTATTGAATGACTGTAGATGTAGGACAGTTTTCAGCCTTATGCAGTTATGTTACTTTCTTCCCAAATATAGAGGTAGCTGTTTCTACTCATGATGACAGTAACGTGTGACAGAAACTTGTAATTCAAAATCACAATCATGGAAGGTGTCTTAAGAAAACGAAACTTATATTCTAGTCTACTTTGAGCTGGAGTTAAAAGTCAGTAAATAGATAGCCAAGGCCTCTAAGCTGGTGGAAAAAAAAAAAAAAAAAAAAACCTTTCTACATAAAAGTAAGAGAATGCTACAGAGATTTATAAGGCTAGGGTCTTTTCACAATCAATCTAAGGAGAGTTCATGGTGAAGAAACACTCATCAGACTAAAATTTTAGATGTTAAGTCACAGGGAGAGCTTGTTGAGAAAAGAGAAATGTATATAACTAGAAACATTTGAGTATTTTTCTGTCAAGAAGAGAGAAACACAAATGAACTGAAAAAGAAATATATAGCAAAATTTCCTGGGGTTTAATTAAGTTGCAAAGTAAGGAAGGATGAGATCATTACTCACCAGGGTAACTTCAAGAGTGGGGAAATTTATCAAAAGTCCCAGAGTCTTTGATTTAAAAAAAACAAACAAAAAAACAAACAAAAAAAACCTTCATGTCAAAGATTTCACTGTAAAGCAATGCAACAGAAAGAGTAGAATAAGTGTGCTCCTTAGTTATTATAGAATTATGAGTAAGATATATAATTGATCTGAGTTGGTATTTCTTTAAAGGCTGCTTTCTATTTTGTATCATGCTTTTAAATAGAATAATACTGACATGTTAATAGGAATACTTTGCTGTTTAATTAGTTATGTTATTTAAAACAGTAGTGGGGAAAAATTGTACTGAAAAGAACCAAATAGTAAACATTTTAGGCTTTCCAGGCCATACGGTCTTTGCTGTGACTACTCAAGTTTGCTGTTGTAACTTAAAAGCAGTCAAAGGAAAACTGTAAACAAACGAGCATGACTGGCTACCAGTAAAACCCTATTTACAAAAACAGCCTGCAGGCCATAGTTTGCCAACTTCTGATTAAAAGCATAATCAAGAAAATGGACTCATCAAATGTTCTATTACTTGTGGGTATGAAAAGCAGTCTGGTCAATGGTAGCCTCCCAAAAGTGTAAGCTTAGTAGCCAAGAGACAGTAAAACAACTTTGAGAGGAACAATCTTGCCAAACCCAGTATGTTGGAGTAGGAAAAGACAATAGAGATCATTCTAGATGCCTATCTTTATTTTACAGATGAGAAAGTTGAAGCGCAGAGAAAAGTGTCATTCCCAAGATCAGGTAACATACGGCAAGATCTGTTTCTATAAACAGATAGCTGTTAGCTGGGTGGCCCTGTGCCCATCCCATAAGTATTCTGAGCTTTGATTCCATACCTGTAAAATGAATGGGTTGGACTAGAATGTCATTTCTAACTCATTTCTCATTTCACAACTCTCACATTTTACAAATGTGACTAGCAGGGAAGGGGTATGAGAACTCCTGACTGGCTAACACCCAAAGTGAGTGGCAAGGCCCATCTTTTCATAATATAGAAAGTGGCTGTTATTTCACTGAATTCCCAAACCACTGGAGAAAGGATAAAAAATGTACCTGTTTTCAGGCATAACATGTAGCTTCACATATCCTTGACCAAACAATAGTCCTCTATAAGTGAAGGTTGGCTTCTTCTAAGATTGAAACTTTAGTAGGGATACAGGTGGATCAGTGAGGAAAGAAGGAAGGAGATTTCCACCCAACCACCCTGGTCAGCTAAATTCAATTTAACAATCAACAGTTGGAGATGCCATAGCCAAATAATCCTAAGATATAAAAGGAAGTGGAGAGAACATTTTGTGTTCTATAATTTCAGATCATAGTCATTTTTTGTGGTGTAGCCTGAGTAACACAGAAGTCTCTCTCTTGGAACTTACCTGGAAAGCATTGAGCAAGGCAAAAATTATATGGAATGTCAAGGAAGTGCCTTCTATGAGAGTGGCTATTCCAAAACCCCAGGTCAGTCCCAGCAGTGGGGTGAGGATGGCAACGTTTTTGCTGATCCTCATAATTATGGCCACATCCTGAGACTTGGAACTGCCAATAGAGGGCCTCTGAGTGTTGATGGCAACAACCAAAACCACAATGAGATTCACAGCCACAATGACCAACGCCGGGATGGCAAATGCTAAAAGGGCTTTGGTATTGTCCCAGTTAAGCCAACAGGCCTCGGGTCTCATGTAGCCGTTCTTTGGCTCTGTGATAGCAACTGTGGTGACAGCAATGATCAATGGGCACCCATAGCCAATGGCAAAGCCAATGACCATCATTCGGGACTTCATCATCCTACGGAAAATGACCAATATTCCATAAATGATAAGCAGTGCTTTGAAGAGCATCCAGAAAAACAGAGAGAGGTAGAAAAAGTGGCTGAAAAATGTCACTGCAACACACACGTTGTAGTCCTGGGCCTTAATGTTAAAGTTAGAGCCTATGATAAACCACACATTGGCAGTCAGAAGGGACACTGCTATATTCACGATGCACACGTGACGCATGTATGATATCTCCGTCACAACCACCCGGGACCACACCGTGGCTTCAATGATCAGGCAAAGAACCAAGCTTAGGATTGAGACGCTGAGCCCAATGCAGGTGATGTAGTCCAGAACTTTGTCAGTCATTGATTTGGGGGACATTAGAATGGAAAAAGACATCACTGTACTGGTGTAGTTACAGCGACATTTCACTTCATTCTTGATATCCAATATCATTTGGCATACTTTCTCATCCCATCTCCTTTTCTTGGAGTGCCAGCCAACACACTGGGCTCTGGCATTGCGGCTTTTATTGATCTTTTCGAAGGTGAGTACGATTTCTTGCAACTTTTCTGGTAAAACCACTGATAGGACCAGACCATTTACCGGTCTGGGAAGACTCACATTTTGCAGGTGGGCTTCTCTCAGGATAGCTCCCAAGGTTGGGAAAGCTATGCTAATGGCTCGGGATGCATTTGGCCACAGCTTCCTTAGCTCTTGCCTGGGAATCTGTACCATTCCTAAGATATCTTCTGTGGTATTGTTTGTGCTCATGGAGAAATTGAGGCTCTTCTCTGAGGTATTATGGTTGATGTGAAACCCTTTTGTCTGAATGAAGAGTTCATTCACAATGTTCTCAGATTTATTGTGGATGTGGAGGTGCCTGGCAAACAAATTCACTGACTGCAACAAATCCGAGCTGGCGTTTTTGTTGGGAATGAAAGCCCAATTTGAAATGGCTGCCGTGTCCAGGATGTGGTTGGCCACTTCACCGTAGCTCTGCAACGGAGAAAGGTGAACATTATACTAAGGATTTACACATTGTTGTACAAAGTTGATTTCTAAAACCTGAAATTTCTAAAGATCAAGTTACCCAATCTTATTTGGCATATTTCTCTTCAAATTCCCTATGTATTAGAATCCCACATTAGTAAGGTCACACAGAGGGAAGAAAAGTAAAATAACACACACACAAAAAATCACAGCTAAGGTTTACCTGCTTTATTATTGCACCCAGGGCAGCATTTCCAGACTGCAGTGTGTGTAGAACTCAAGTTTCCCATTAGATTTTAATGATTGTTTAATGGAGGAGAGTGGAGGTATGTTCTCTGGTCATCCAACCTTGATAAAGACTGCACACCCTGTCCCTATCTCCCCCTGCCTTACAAATAATTCCAAAGTTCATTAGGACATTAAAGGCTCTGAAATGCTGTGCCATACAGAAACCTGCCTAACTTTGTTTAACCCAGAATTTCCTACAACTGATGTGCTACAGATCTCCCTTTTAAAAACAGAATCTCCATTAACATTTCTCAGAATGGTTATGTTCTACAGCAGTGGTCCTCAACCTTTTTGACACCAGGGACTAGCTTCATGAAAGACAATTTTTCCGTGGACTCTGGGCAGCGGAGGTGGGGATGGTTTCAGGAGGAAGCTGTTCCACCTTAGATCATCAGGCATTAGATTTTCCTAAGGAGCACACAACCTACCTCCATCTCATAGGCAGCTCACAATAGGATCCATGCTTCTATGAGAATCTAATGCTGCAGCTGATCCAACAGGAGGCAGAGCTCAGGCGGTAATGTTCGCTCACCCTCCGCTCACCTCCTGCTGTGCAGCCCAGATCCTAAGAGGCCACAGCCCAGTACCAATCCACAGCTCGGGTGTCGGGGACCCCCGTTCTAAAGAATATAGTTTTAGAAAGGTACATTCCATCTTGCTCACTGCCATCACTACACTATGTGACATTTTCTTGAAAATGTGAAGTGTGTACAAAGATAGGTATTCAAAATGTTTTAACTTCTTGAAAACTTCCATAAACTAGAATGAATCAATATCCCACACCGAAGTGAAATGCCTGCTGTTGCTGTGATGGTTGCTGTCACTGTAGTGTTTGTCCTGGAAAGTACATTTGAAACTATTCAAATGAAAATTTTAAGAGAAACATCATTTTTTAATTACTAACAAAGAATACCTTCATTTTCTCTCGAGTAACATCATCAGACAAGTCTGTAGAAATATTTTTTAATAACTCCACTATAAATGCAATATTTCCAGATGTCGTTTCTGATGATTTCACAACATCAATGATGCAGGCATAATCAAGGGGGCAGTTCTTACGGATTCCTTGAGCTACATTCTCAATGGTCTCAGGAGCTCGAAAGTCTAGAATGTGCAGGGGTATAGATGCTGCTGCTACAGAAAGGCGAGATGCACCAGTTGAGTCCTGTTTAAAACAAATGTAGTTTCATTCAAAAATGATTAAGTACCTACCATGTGTCAGACTAAAGGAACTAAAACACAAACAATCTACATGCGGAAGGCAGATGAAGAAGCAGCGTCCTAAAAAGTGGATTTGATGCAGAGCGGGGTGGAGAGGACACAGCGGGGTCAGAAAGAGGCAGAGGATTTCGCTCGAATTAGCAGGCACCAGGATATTGACCTTTACTACTGGAATTTGCTTTCAGGACATTGATTTTTAACTCAAGCATTATAACAAGATAATTTTCTACAGCGAAGGGAAAGAAGAGCCACATGGAATTTCACGGGGGAGTGGATTTGGGAGGTTGGCAGGTCAAACACAGAACGCTAAGGAATTACAATTTTGGACTTTAGAGTTTACTAGTTAGAAGAGGTGATTTGCTCGTTTTCTGATTCTTTTACCTAGACTCACTCAGAATGTGACTTTGAATAAGGAAAAGCAATGATTTATTTCCTTTCATTCACTTTTGAGTGTGACCATAGTTGCAAGGACTTCTATGTGATTACCTAGGCTAAGTGACAGAGAAGCCAGCTGCAATCCCCTTGTAAACACTGTTAAAATTTTAGAAAATGCAGAGATCCATGAGCTTCCATGGGATTGCAGGGGAGGTAGAAGATAACAGTTGCTACATGGAATGATACAAAAGAGATTTTAACTTTAACTGGATGTGTATGCATTCAATTTCTGTTCCTCTAGATAGAGCACACATCTCTCCTTTCTTTTGGTCAAGAGATTGAAAGTATTAAAAAGAGATATAAAGGCCCGGCACAGTGGCTCATGCCTGTAATCTCAGCACTTTGGGAGTCCCAGGCGGGCAGATCACAAGATCAAGAGACCGAGACCATCCTGGGCAACATGGTGAATTCCCATCTCTACTAAAAATACAAAAATTAGCTGGATGTGGTGGCAGGTGCCTGTAGTCCCAGCTCCTCGGGAGGCTGAGGCAGGAGAATCGCTTGAACCCAGGAGGCGGAGGCTGCAGTGAGCTGAGATTGCACCACTGCACTCCAGCCTGGAGGAGAGCAAGACTCCATTTCAAAAACAAAAAAAGAGATATCAAAATAAATTTGATTCTAGACACATTTAGTTGATTAACTGATTATCACAAGAGGCATACAAACCCACCATTAGAGCTAAAACGTAACCTCTAAGCAATCATATGCACCATAGCGTAAATGAGTTTCATATCTTTGTTTCTTTTTGTTGTTGTTTTTTGTTTTTTGTTTTTTTTAAGAGAAGTTTCTTAGTGGTAGAAATAGAGAGCATGTGGAGAGGAGGGAGAGTACCTGAGAGTTTGGGTAAGGAAAGAAGGTCAAGAAACAAATTTAACCCACTCTGTAGATTTTTCTAAATTTAACCCACTCGGTAGGTTTTGCAGATCTGAGACTTTTTGTCATGCTGAACAGATCACACTAAAAATGCCTCACTTTCTCCTGGGGGATTGACTTCTGTCACCAATAATTTTTGAATGCGTTACCTTAAAGAGTTTTTCCACAGAAAGACTTGTACATGTTTCGGTTGATTTTTGCCACTTTTTTTGATTACATGTAAATCCTATTTCTCCACGAAAGTCCTTAGCACAGGGCCGGCTGCAGTTGGAAGAAGAGATACAAGGTCCATGGCATTTCTCTAAAAAAAAAAAAGAGAGAGAGAGAGAGAGAGACAGGAGCCCAATTAGGATTTCCATACTCTGACATGTGCATCAAATTCATTCTGGAGATTTTTGGATTGCTTCCTGGAGGAAGTGACGTTGAACTGGGCCCACGGCAATGAGTAAGAGCTGCCAGGTAGATTGTGAAGCTGGTGTCCAGGCAGAGTGAACAGCACATGGAAAGGGGAATTTCACGTCATTCAGAAAGACTAGTCCAGAGCACTTGAAGCGGGAGTGGCAAGAGATGAGGGTGGGAAGGAAAGCAGGGTTTAACTCACGCAGGGCCTTGAATGCTGTGCTAATGTGGGAGTTACCAGAAGACATGATTGGACTTGTTTTTGAAAGATAATTGATGATAAGATAGAGCAGGAGTCCATAAACTTTTATGTCAAGGAACACGTGAATGGAGTTGCCAGATAAAATATGGGAATCCCAGTTAAATGTCAATTTTATTTTCACACACAGTTGATTCTCATTGTCCACAGGAGTTACATTCTATAAAGTCACCATGAACACTAAGTGTTCTGAACAATCGCTCCTAGGGTAATATAAGGGTAGGTTCCTACAAGCTTCTGCTTACAGTATTTTCATCAACTAATCAATATATGACCTCTTGAATGTGTGTTTCTATATAAAGATACCTTATTTAATATATATTGTTGATTCATTAGCATTGACCTCATGGCCAATAGCACTGTAACCCATACCTGAACAAAGCTTATCTAACATATGCATTTTCTCCATAAGACACATTCCAGCCTTTTCTGGCTTAGGAATGCTAGGCAGCGCGTCAGCAGTATGTTTGGGGGCTACTTTAAACAGCAAAATCATCAACAAAAAGCACAAAAATGCAAAAACAAAACTGTGGTGCTGCATAGACCAGGAAAGAACAGTTGTTTATAGTAGGAGAGCTAGAACAAGAAGGTAAAACATCACCTTGTCCAGCTCCTGCTGAAAACATATGTACTGGACATCTCAATTTTTTGCTGCTTTCTACATGTCTGTGAATGACCACAAAAGCACTGTGAGTATTGATTTAGGGATTACAGATAAATTTCAGCATTAAGCAAATTTGCAAATATAGAATCTGCAAATAATAAATGACTGTAAATGCTCAGATAAACAACAAATAAGTTTTCAGTGTCTGTATGATCCATGCGCTATTATTCATTGTTTATCTGAAATTCAAATTTAATCAGGCATTCTCTATTTTTATTTGCTAAATATGGTAACTCTAGCCAGAGAGTAAATATTTTCAGCTTTGCAGGCCATATGGGTCTTAGTCACAACTACTCAACCCTGCCTTTGTAGTGTGACAGCAGCCAAAGACAATATGTAAATGAATGGGTATGGCTATGTTCCGATAAAACTTTATTTACCAAAACTAGTGGCAGGCCAAATTTTGCCCATGGGTCACAGTGAAGGCGCTTTGGATAGGAAGAGTGAGCCTGTTGAAATATTCTCAGGAGAATTGCCTTAAGATAGCAGCTGGGGAATGGAAAGTAAATGATGCTGAGAGCTATTAGAGTGTTCAAATCAATACAATGAGGTGACCAGTTACCTGCGAGTCACCTTTTGTGGCTTGGACAGCTCTGTGATGACTGCATTTACTGGGAAAGGAAACAAACTTCGCCAAACCTTGTATGCAAAATTTGCATTAAACCTTGCCTGCAAAATTTGCATCAGTTTTTGCAAGTTCATTAACCAGAGTAGTTCTCACTTTCTTCTTCCATATAGATTGAATATGATGCCATAATGTTGTTATAAATATGGAATGAGACAGCATCTTGTACAACACTTAGATCCAAGTTGTCTTAAATGCCCTGTAAATGTTAGCTACCTTTCTCTCTGCTTTCCTTTCTCACCCACAAATAAGGATGTATTTGCCACCTAGCCATGATTGTGCAGAATCCAGTTACTCCCCACTATGTGAGTGAGAACCACATGATTTCACTGAAGTACTATTAGTGATTACCCCCTCAGTTTACTTCTCACTTCTTGAGAGTGACCAGTCTCATCACCCATGATGTCCATCTTACAGTGCTTTAATAGACTTTTCAGCACCAGAGTGTTGCATACATTTAAGCACCCTGAAAATCTCTTTGAACGAAGGAAGGAATAATCTTGTCCTCTTTCCTTTTCTGCCTCCTGTTAACTCTTTACTTTGAACAGATTTCTCTTTCGGATTTGGAGATGTGCACTTCTCTACTATTCTACAGCACATGTGAATATTTGATAACTCCCTTCATTGACTATGCCACTGGTAATGGTATAACTGTAAGAAAATCTATGAATACTGGTAAGCATATAGAACTTACTGGAGATTGCTATTCAGTTGGAAAGCCTATGGTCTGGGGACAAGTTTGTAACACCAATGCCCTTCCTTTATTCTTCCCTGTCTTCAAATGGATGAAGACTGTTCTATAGTCACATACCTTGGATCCTTCCAGTCTTGGGTTTCCCTTCAGGGCTTTGAAGTTTATCTCCAGCCTGAAAAATATAAATTCCCAAAGGTCCTCTTTACTGTGGGGCTCTGCTCCCTCATCTCAGCTGAGAGGCTCCATGTGAATATGAAAAGAAAATGCGTTCAGGAATAGAAAGAAAACTGCAGCAGATCCACGTGCTGGTATTGTGGGAACTTGCTGAAGGAAACGTGGGTGAGAGCACAGGGAGAATGCACTGCCCTCCAATGAGGGATAGAACCTTGACAGTGGTCACTTGGCCTTTCTAGGTGAAGTTAGTAAAGATGCTACATCTTTCAAGAAGTTTAAGCATCCAGGGAGAACAGAACACAGATGAGAATTAAACGACTAATCTGTTCTCTGCCTGTGTTAACTGTAAGGATGAAATGAAGTTAATGTGGTCCACCAGACACTGTAGATCCTTAGAAGACAGAAATGAACAGATACTAGGAATAATCACTAGATCACAATAATAGAATCACAAATCTCTTATATCCATAAAGAACTATAAATAATATCTTTAAAAACTTCATCTTATAGATAAGGAAATTGGGACTCAGAAAAGTGAAACAACTTATGCAACTACTGGGGAGCAAAATTAAGATCTGACTCTCCATTGCTCAACTCCCAGGCGAGTACTTCTTCTCTCACCAGCAGTCTATCTACATTCTATCTACATTTCTCATTGCAAAGTGATTATTCTACTGTACTTTCGCTCCCCAGGCAAGTCCCTGCCACCTCTCAGCTTTTCTTTGTTCCCTTCTTTAGAAAGTTATTATCAACAAGAGTAAAGTTGTAACCATTTGAAAATGTATTTAAAATGGCATCTTATTTATCAGAAGTCTTGCCATCGAGGGCAACTGAGAGATTTCTCTTCGGATCACATAGGAATAGTTCAAACTTACTTTTAGGTGAATCTTGGATCTATAGTGGGAACATTCTGTGGACAGAAAGAACATTAAGCAGCAAATCATGGTTGCCTGGGACTTCATTTTCATACATGAGGATCTTTACCTGCAATAGAGAAAGAAGGCATACCCACCTGAAGGTGATACCTTCACACAACTAATAATACTTATCAGGCTAACCAACTCCTTAGTGAACCCACCGGATATTCTGAGATAGTCACACCAAAGCAGCCGGCCCCAGAAAAGCACACCAATATCTATTTTCAAGCCAGCTAAAATGTATGAAAGAAAATAATTTCTCTCAACTGTTAACTTTTCTACAGAAGATAGAATGACGGAAGAACCAGGAAGGATGTAGTTTCACCAAAGCATCATTCCTTATTATTTAATTGACAAGTTTATATAATAGTCATATTTATCAAGAATATCTATTTGCCAATTAACTGTTCTAAGCACTGTCTTTTATAAACTCATTTAATCCTATGATGTAAGATGCTATTACTATCTTCATTTTATCACTGGGGAAAATAACGGACAAAGAGTTGAGCAACTATGAGCCCAACTTCACTCCGATAAAAAGTGGTAGAGCCACGAGTTCAACCCAGACGGTCCAGCTGGACAGCCATTCTTCATCTCTATAACAGGATTTCTCTGTGATGGTGCTATTGACATTCTGGGTTGGATAGTTCTCTGCTGTTGGGGGCTGTCCTGTGAATTGTAGGATGGTTAGCAGCATCCCTGGCCTCTATCCAGTAGATGCCAGTAGCACTCACTACCCCCCCTCAATTGTTGTCAAATGTGCCCGTGGAGGAAAAATCTCCCCCAGTTGAGAACCACTGTCCTATAGTGTACTCTCTGTCTAGGCATATGGAGACAAGTAACTTAAAGTGAAATTAATAAGCCCAATTGTCTGCTACCAGAGCAAGCTCTGAGACTCCCTCTTAGCAATGGATAAACTGTTTATACAGATAAACTAGATGCACAGGAAGATAACTCTCTATTCTTTTGCCATATCTCTGTTTCTTGCCTTTTCCTGAGAGTTCTACCTTTCAAATCCAAATCTCAGAAAAAAAAATCCTTACAACAGTTGAGATTTATCAACATCATCATGATCGTTACTATGACACCTTCATATAAGATAGTGGCAATTCAGACCACTTATTGGTAATAAAGTTCCTTAAAATGATTTTCCTGGAAATTCAGATGCAGCAAAACAAAAAGATCATTGATTTTAGAATCAGCAAGAGCTATACTATAATCTTATGTCTGCTATGGATGAACCAGCCTGTTTTTTCATCCATTTTGTAAAATGTAGATGATCATTCATTCTATCAACCAACATTTATCAAGTGTCACTCATTTGCTAGACATTGTACCAGATGCTGAGCATACAGAAATAAAAGATGCTATTTTTCCTGTCAAAGATGTTCAGTGGGTAACATAGACAAGTCAAAACAACAGTGAGAAAAGAGATTACCTACACATCGCATTCCGTGAACACAGCCAGGCAAAGACTCTCCTCAGCAAACATAAATTCCCTTATGATCCAGTAGAGATGACCTAGGCCCTGATCCAACTAGGTCCATAAGGCAATCGGTGAACAGGGAGCAGACAGAACTGATTGATCTGACATCAGACCCTTTCTGGGTAGCGTCAAGCATAAGATGGACTTTCATGAGTCCAGTGAGCCTTTAGCTGAGATGACAAGCCACAGGCACTTACAGGAATGCTTCCAAATTATCTTTGAGTTTAAAGTTTCTAACCAATGAACACAGGGGAAAGTATGTTTATTTACAACATCATCTGGTAGAGCAAGTCTGAGCAAGGGAAAGAGAACATGGCAGCATGACAGGCAAGGTGTGGTAATGGATTTGACGGGAGTTGGGATTATGAATGCAGAATTGATGATCTTACAGTGTGGGTAGAAAGAAGTCACCATGTAGGCCGTAAATTGATGAATGGGCACACCTAGCAATTTGCAATATGAATATTGTCTAGGATAGATGCTTAACTGATCATCACTAAAGAAAGTACCAGAAGAACCAGTATAAATTGTTTTAAAATTATCCATATGTTTCACATATACGACTTTGGCTTTCAAAATTTTTTGACAGGCCGGACACGGCGGCTCATGCCTGTGATCCCAGCACTTTGAGAGGATGAGGTGGGCAGATCACAAGGTCAGGAGATTGAGACCACCCTGGCTGACATGGTGAAACCCCATCTCTACTAAAAATACAAAACATTAGCCAAGTGTGATGGCGAGCGCCTGTAGTCCCAGTTACTCTGAAGGCTGAGGCAGGAGAATTGCTGAAACCCTGGAGACGGAGGTTGCAGTGAGCTGAGATCGCACCCCTGCACTCCAGCCTGTGTGACAGAGGGAGACTTCGTCTCAAAACAAAAAAAAAACAAAAACAAAAAACTTGACAATAACACAATAAAAAACAGATCTCAAATCTCATATTATGACTCACTATGCACAGCCATACATAGGTATGTATCTATGCATGTATATCAGTGTCTATACATAAAACCAAAAAAACGTAATTTTTATATTGACAAATTTTATGTAAAATAGTTATCCTTGCTACCTACAAGTAAGAACTCTGATACGTCCAATAGTTTTATCCTATGTTCTTCTCCATTCTATTTGACATTCTCTCAAATACTAGTTGTCACCTACTAAGTTTAATTCACAAGCCTCTAATGGATTGTAACCTGCAGTTTGAAAAACAGACTGTAAGATTCATTTTAATTATCAAGCTGAAGACTGTTCACTTCTCTCATTAAAGTGATCACTTTAATCCTTTCTCTTGCTAGTCTTCACGATTATACTGAAGTCTCCTTCACAGGGTACATGTGTGAAGGAGAAAAGAAATCTATTCTCAGGGCCAAATAATAGGACCGATGGTGAAGGCAAACCCAATTCCTCTCCACATTTCAGATCATGGTCGGAAATGTGCACTAAAATGGGTGACGACGAGATGAAGGGAGGCATTTATAAAGAATAGCATCTGCTGCCGGGGGCTGTGGCTCACCCCTGTAATCCCAGCACTTTGGGAGGCTGACGCAGGCAGATTATTTGAGGTCAGGAGTTCGAGACCAGCCGGGTCAACATGGTGAAACCCCACCTCTACTAAAAATACAAAGATTAGCCGGGCATGGTAGTGGGCACCTGTAATCCCAGCGACTCGGGAGGTAGGAGAATCGCTTGAACCCGGGAGGAGGAGGTTGCAGTGAGCCGAGGTCATGTCATTGCACTCCAGCCTGGGTGACAAGAGTGAAACTCTGTCTCAAAAAAAAAAAAAAAAAAAAAAAAAAGAGAGAGGATAGCACCTGCTGTCTGAGGCTTCAGGAGAAGGGTCATGTTTACTGTCCATTAGCTTTAATATAGGAGTTTTGCTTAAAGCTAACCTTGTTGAAAGCAAGTCAGATATTTGGCAGAATGATGTGATGTCATTTGTGAAGTCTAAAAATGCCTCTCCAACTAGTGCTAGGCCTCCAGCTGCACACAGCTCCTGAACGTGTTCAGGGAGTAAAGGATCCAACAGCTATGACATTTTCTGTAAATCATTCTTTGTGGAACAATATTGAATAATGATATATTTCATATATGTATATACATAAAAAATTTTACTAGCATAAAGTATATATGTAATACGAAATCATAAACGTGACCATAAAATACATAAATTTGAACTAAGCACAATTGGCTGTAGGATTTTGATTAATTAATTTGCTACTTGATCATTCACGTTACTATAGTCTGGCATATGTAACTACATACCATTTGGGATGGCAATTTATATAGTAAATTTTCTTCAGTTATTACAAATGTTGGGAGAGACTATTCAGTGATACTACCCAAGAGGAATGATGGCATTTTTATTTTAGCCCAGTTTGATTGGCAGGGATGGATGAGATAGACGTTTTCAGGTTGGCCCTAATTTGGTTGGTTCTCTTCTCACCAGGAAGAGTTGAATGGGATCCCTCCTGTCAGAGTTCAAATGTAGCTGAGGCCAAAAGCCAGAGTCCTCTGCAGAGAAGAGCTTAAGGACTCTGAGAATGAAGAATTTAAAAATTTCTAAAAAGGTTTGGCAGTATAATTTATCCTCCTAATTCATCCGTGGTTGATATTTTATAGAACGTAATGGAGGAAACACACATCCTTACATCTACCACTGATAAAGACTCAATAATTAAAGTGAATTGGAGTTTTTCAACATTCCAAACTGAAAAGTTTCAGTAAATACAAATATAGTATCTCTCCAGCACCCAGCACATGTCTATATGTAGTGAGTAGTCTCCCGAAAGGATGAGGGAAATAAAAGAACAAGCATGCAAAACCTGAATATTAAATTAAATGTAACAAGAACAGTGAGAATTATCCAGATGGATATAAGCAAACCATGGCCTGTACCTAAAGAAGAAGCTTCCATACAGGAGCCTTACGGGGCTAACTCACCCAGGTGAGGGACATACCAGTTCCTGGTAAAGAGTGGGGAGCCAATGCTGGATCCTATCCTACGTGGAGAATCCAGACTTGTTCCAAGCATATTCTCCTTAAATTACTTTTATTCCATTTATTGACTTCTGGTTCTACATTGTGTTCAGGTTATCAACAAACTTGTGTATTCTCTTTGTGTGTGTGTGTGTGTGTTTCATTATGCAATAAATAGTGTGTTTTTTTAATACTTTATGTTCTAGAGTACATGTGCACAACGTGCAGATTTGTTACATATGTATACATGTGCCATGTTGGTGTGCTCCACCCATTAACTCATCATTTACATTAGGTATATCTTCTAATGCTATCCCTCCCCTCTCCCCCAACCCCACAACAGGCCCTGGTGTGTGATGTTCTCTTTCCTGTGTCCAAGTGATTTCATTGTTCAGTTCCCACCTATGAGTGAGAACATGTGGTGTTTGGTTTTCTGTTCTTGCGGTAGTTTGCTGAGAATGATGGTTTCCAGCTGCATCCATGTCCCTATAAAGGACATGAACTCATCCTTTTTTATGGCTGCATAGTATTCCATGGTGTACATGTGCCATGTTTTCTCAATTCAGTCTGCCATTGATGGACATTGGGTTGGTTCCAAGTCTTTGCTATTGTGAATAGTACTGCAATAAACATACGTGTGCGTGTGTCTTTATAGCAGCATGATTTAGAATCCTTTGGGTATATACCCAGTAATGGGATGGCTGGGTCAAATGGTATTTCTGGTTCTAGATCCTTGAGGAATCACCACACAGTCTTCCACAATGGTTGAACTAGTTTACAGTCTGTGTATTCTCTTATATTCCCTACCTTTATAAATCCTCTGTGTATGGTGGCAGAAAAACACTTTGTTGGGAAGAGATGTCACCACTTAAATTAAGATTCTAGTACCCAGTGAGGGGAAACAAAAACGGCAAGCAGTAATCGTGACAGAATAATGCTGGAACGAGGCATATTTATGTTTGAGGTTGATGCATATTATCCACCATTTGTTTGCCAACCATTTGTAGCAGGCACAAAAAGGTTAAAGAAAATGGAACAGAAGAAAAATTTAACTTTGAGGGCATTTGTATACACTGACCTAATTTTCTTTGAATTCGGGGAGTGGGGCTGCTCTACTTTTAGTAGGCAAACAGTGGAAGCTTTGGTGTCTACTGTATTTGACCAAGGCCTTGTGTCCTCACGTGGGTTTCTGTGGAACGCTGGTCTCATAAAAGACAAAGGGGTTCCATGGCCAAATCAGTTTGGGAAACAATGTGTAACACCACTGCCACAACTCCCCCCAACACACACACAGACACACACACACACAGGCGTGAACACGTATCAAAGGTTCTGAGATTTCTTGTAGTAAGAAGACTGTTTCATCCAGGTTTTACAATTCACTTGATAATCAGAAATTCTAGGCCAGGCACAGTGGCTCACGCCTGTAATCCCAACACCTTGGGAGGCTAAGGTGGGTGGATCACCTGAGGTCAGGAGTTCAAAATCAGCCTGAACAACATGGTGAAACCCTGTCTCTACTAAATAAAAAAAAATTAGCTGGACGTGGTGGTGCATACCTATAACCCCAGCTACTTGGAAGGCTGAAGCAAGAGAATCGAATCGCTTGAATCTGGGAGGCAGAGGTTGCAGTGAGCTGAGATTGCGCCATTGCACTCCAGCCTGGGCAACAAGAGTGAAACTCTGTCTCAAAAAATAAAATAAAATAAAATAAAAATAAATAGATAATCAGAAATGCTCCGGGGAGTTTCAAGCTGCAATTCCATCACAATATGTAATCTTGGAGGGAAACACGTTAATCTCTCCAGACTTAGGCTTCACATGTATTTGCTGGGCATCTACCTTATGCCCGTCCCTGTGCTAATACATTCATGGGAGCTCTTTAAGTCATTCACAGCAAAGCTTGGGTGACCAAAAGAAAGAGATCAGTTTCAGAAACGAAGAATTAAAAAGTGAAAGAGAAAACAAGAAGCAAAAGAACGCTTGCCTGAGGTTATCTGTGGCAAGAAGGTAAATAAAGAGTTATCAGTTATTTATAAATTCCCTCCAATTTCTATACTAGTCACTCGATAAGGGCAGCTCCACATCTCGTTCCCAAGGTATCTGCAAGACGACTTATTTCAGAGATAAAAGCAACTAAGTCACCTAGAATGGCAGCTTCTCAGGACCTGCAAAAGTCATGTCCCAGGTTCCTTCTCCTCCACTTCCATAACCCGCCTCTTTCTGTGCATGATTATAAAAGTGTTAATTACCCACTACCATCCACCTTTGTTTTTCACACAGTACTAAAAAGCAATTCAAGCCTGCTGAATGGAGGCCAGGCTCCCCGCTCCAGCATGTTCATCACAAAGAAAAAGATACCATTTGCTGGTCATTACAAAGAAAATAACATTTGCTGGCCTCAGAGACTTACAGGAAAACGCAGCTAGACCTGATTGTCCCGGGGCGGGGGGGGGGGGGGGGGGATGTGTCTAAGGATCTACCTCTCCATCAAGTTTACAGTAATCAGCGACTTTCACACTGCTGCCGAAATTCTAATCACAGTGGGTCAACAGAGCACAACAATTTGTGCTCTTTGCCCCGGAGCGTCAGAGAAATTAGGCCACACCTAGTGAAATAGACCAAAAAAAAAGGTCAGGTTGTCATTAGTCAGAATGTAAACACCTGATGTTTCTCTATCCTCAGCACCCAGCAGAAGATACAGAATAGACACTCGGTAAACGTTTGTTGGATGAGTGAATGAATTGGCAAATGATCCCTGCAGAGTGACATCAGCATCTGAAGCATCTGAAGTCTTTGTTTTAAAATCATGAGGCAACTTTTCTATCTCAGAGGGGCAGGTGAGCACATTTGCGACTCTAGATAATTTTGGAACCTGGTGTGTTAAGTAGAAACACTCCTGGATGCCAGTCCGACTGTGGACCTCCTCTTTATTGTACTGCCTGGAGCCTTATGTGAAAGAATTGAGCAGGAAATAATGCCATGCCAGGTTAGGGATGTCCACCATGGGCACAAGAGGGTGTCATAACAATGCATGTGTCTCTTTCCACACTGTCTCCACAAGTCAGAACTAATAAAATCCTGTTTCTCTGGACAGACCCAGATGACCCCAACTGTTCTGAAACACCATCTCCTATTTGTCCCATCTTCCTTGTACCTGGAGCAGATTTTCTGAATGAGTTGGAATTTAAAACTACAGTGAGTCTGCCTGGGTACTGGAGCTCCTTTCTGAAACATGCTAGATGGAATTGTAGGGGATGACTCACACAGACTGAGTACTCCCTACGCGTCTGAACACGCTGAGTGTGGCCTGACATCGGGACTCCCAAAGAAAAATTTAAAAGGTCAGCCGGGAACTATAAGTGTAGTCAATGAGGAAGGAATGCCTTGGAAGGTGTGATCTCACAAACCTATTCATGCAAAACACCCTAAGGTGAGTGGCCAAGAATATTTGTGAATCAAGGACATACTTTCCCAAAGGGTTCCTCTCCCTGGAACTGTACCACAAGGTAAGAGGGAGCGCCTATTCTCACTTGTTTGCCAGTCTTCAAGGTGGCAACTCGCCTCATACTCCCAGGCCAGACCACTGTCTGATGAGAACAACCAATTCAAAGAGATTAACTAGAGGGCAAGGAACTTAAGAGTTAAGTGACCCACATTTTGGGGTGTGTATGTGTGTGTGTGTGTGTTGTTCCCCTAATTCTAAAACCCTCTGTTTCCTCTGCTCCAGTAGTATAATTAGAACTCTGATTATAACATCAGATGGATAAACGAGTTGTTTATGTGTTTAAGACCCAATATCCCTGTCCTCAATAGTAGAATCTATTTAGTTACCCTTAGCAGTTCTCCCTTGCCATGGACAAAATGCTTCACATAGGGCCTTGGGTGAAAGCAAGATAGAAAAGAACTATTAGAATCAGAAACATCTCATCTTTGGCTATTTTAGATGGCTTCCAGCCAATCTGTTGGCAACCCAGGATCTTTTCTAAAAATTGGAATCTGGATTTAGATTCTGATAGGTTTCAAGAATCACATAATTTCAGAGTTGGAAGACATCCAGATATCTCACCAACTATCTTGATACTTATAAAATTTTAAAGAAATTGATAGGCCCAGCAATTGCCTCTGCTCCACGAAGAAAGCTCATGGAGTGCTGGCACTGAAAAAAAAAGCAAAAACAAACAAACAGCCCCTAATGATGCAACACTTTAGAGCTCTCACAACTGTCTTCAGAGTATGAGGAATACAGAGTTTCAAGTGGCATAGAATTGGCCACTTGAAACAAGGGAAGATGCAAAATGTGTTGGCAGGAACTGCAGAAATGTTTTTAAAATTGATACAATGACAGCTTTGTCAGGCTCACTAAAAGAAGAAACTAAAAAAGAATGCTTTTAAAACAACATCCAGCTTTACATTCAGTCTAAAAGACAGGTATTGAAATGTATCAAGCAAGGGGACAATGCAGGGACAGTGAGTTCATTTGCCTGACAGGATACTTTGCATTTTCACTCCTAGGAGTGAGCCATGAAAGCCTGACAAATGACTCTTAAAGAAAAACAAACATAAAGGTGGCTTAGGAAATACTCCAACCTTGAGCTAGCCAATTTCTAAATCACGTTACAGAAGTTTCTGGAAGAATGGAACATTCCAGAAAATACCATCATAAATCACACATTTCCCCCTTCTGGAATATGTGCAAAAACAAGCCTTTCTTCAACAGGAAAATGGTGTTGGTGTGGGACATCTACTCACGGCATCCAGGAAGCAGATCTAGCAGCCCTGAGGTGGAGAATCACCCGGCAGGAAGGCCAGCGCTCAGCTCCCCAGCATGGTGCCCCACCATCACGTGGCACCTCCCACAGTCCCTGGTCAGCGGCTGTGATCTGTCTTCTCCATTTTTGAAATGGAAGGTCCAAGGGGCCCAGTGAGAACTCACTGCCTGTTGTGAGAAGCCGATCTGAGAACTGTAAAGTTGCCCACAGTTTCAAGGCTTGTGCAAGTCTGTGATTCACTCCACTATGGGTCCATGAAGCACGCCTAAGAGAAATTACAGGTTTCTCCTGTCTGAAGCAAATCCATTAAAGTGAGTCATCTGTTTGTCTTTCAGTTCTCCATCCTTATCTCAGATGATCGCATGAGACTCTGCTTGCATCTGCTGCACTGGGGTAATTGGAACGAGGGTGATAAAATGCAAGGTTATACCAATACTCTTGATGATTTTTAAAGGCTGATACTTTTTTTGCTTTTTTGCCTGTTCTGATGTTGAACTTGGAGGAAATTGGCTGACAAACTGATGCATAAGTTGTGATCTAATTCCTAACCTAGCAACAGAGAGATTTCTGTTTTATTTTTGCAATCACCGGGACAAGGAGTTCTTACTGAGCCACTACATGGCTGTGGTAACTCAGACACAGAAGGCACTGTGGGGAACGCACACAATTTGACTTTAGACAGGGGAGTTGGTTTGCATTGTTCTGCTTACCACCAAACAGTCCCACACACTCCAATTCTACTGTTGTCTACTCACAGGTTTCTTCCCCGCAGAGATCTAAAGCAAACCCTCATTTAGATATTTCCAGGGGAAATGTGAACAGTAAGGAGAGGTAAGTGAGGAGGCAGTTTTGTTATGGGTTTTATAGCAATGAAGGTCAAGGAGGTGCTGTTTATGGAAATGGGTCAGTTCTATTTAGGTCAGTAGTTAAGAAGAACTGGCTCATTTGGGAAGTGGAAAAGCCAATATCAAGCCATTGTGTAATCAAAGGACTTTTTATTGCACATATTTACCGAACATATTCTATGTACAAGACACCACGATCTGCACTATGGGCATACAAAAGTGAGTAACATACTGAGTAACAAAAGTGAATAACCCCGTTCCCCAAAACATATACATATGCACACAAAAAGACCAAAAGGAAATAAACAATACAACACAGTAAATACAAAAGTAAAGTGAAGGACACAGATTATTAAATTACAGGAAATCAGGTGGGGAGAATTAGCACTTCTGGTTGGACCAATCAGGGAAGACTTCTCGAAGAAGGCGGAAAGTGAGGGCGAGCTCAGGCACATATGCAGTGAGCACAGCTCTGTGATGTGTACTCTTTCCTGGCCAGGGAACTGTGTATTATGACCACAGTCATGAATGAAAAGATTTTTCAATGGTAAGCTCAACAAGTTTTGCTGACTGATACCCCTAATGTCGAACAGACCAAATCAAATGCTTAACTCTTTAATTCGGAAGTCAATGAACTAGTTCCCATGAAGGTGTCTACAGCCAAACTTATGCATGGGGGCATGGCTGTGTGTTTGCTTGTGTTTGTGTGTGTGTGGGTGGGTTCATATATTCACAGGACTCTAATTTAAAAAAAACAAAAACTAACATTTGAATTTGAATGAGCAATTATTATGTGCCAAGTACTATACTACTTTAGCTACATTTATCCACTTAAAGTCTAAGGAATTTAAATGGCTTTCCCAAGAATCATTATGTATTAAGTCATACTTACAAATCTGCCTTGGACACTATCAGTACCAATTTCTCCTAGGGTCACCTGACCAAATCACTTTGTTGGTGAGGTGTCAGCAGCAAACTGAATGTGTCTCTACCCGGGGTCATCCAGAGTCAAACTAATCCATACAGTTCCTTGACATTTTTCAAGATGGTGTAGAGTGGGCTTTGGGATGCAGGAGAGAGGGCATAGCTTCTTCCAGGAATTCCCAAATCATTCCAGAGTTTTTCACTCAGCATCCTGGGGGCTTTTTGGTTAATGAGGAGGCTAAGGTGGGGTGTCTTTCCCACCATCCTGCCTCGGGCAGTGAGTATAGCTGAGTAGTGAGTACTTCCATACTAGATGGGACTGCTCAAGGCACAAAGCAAATGCGAGGCCAATCCCTCCCTCTCTCCCTAGTGCTCAGAGCTGTTATCTGTGAAATGAGGTAATTGGAGTTAGTCTTTTATAAAATTTGTCCAGATGTACCATCCTATACCTATATTTGCTTCATGAAATTCCATTTTCACTTCAGTATATGGACTCTGGGTAAGTGACATTTCTTTGTACCTAAGCCCGCACTGAGGAAAACCAGGACTATGTCTTTCTCACCCCTTCTCTTGAAAAGAATATACAAATATATTGGTAAATGGTAAATTAAAACCACTCTCTGGCTTTATTTGTGAAGGATGCTTTTGTTGTCCCAAGATAAGCAATGCCATTTGAAAAATGACTCTCCAGGTTGATGCATTTTTTTAAACTTCAGATTGATGCTTTTTGTCTGCTCAAACTTTCCTACTTTAGGAAGATAATTTGTAATAAGAAAGAAAGAAAAGAAAAGAGAAAAGGAAAGAAAGAAAGAAAGAAAGAAAGAAAGAAAGAAAGAAAGAAAGAAAGAAAGAAAGAAAGAAAGAAAGAAAGAAAGAAAGAAAGAAAAGAAAAGAAAGAAAGGAAAAGAAAAGAAAGGGAAAGAAAGAAAGAAAGAAAGAAAGAAAGAAAGAAAGAAAGAAAGAAAGAAAGAAAGAAAGAAAGAAAGAAAGGAAGGAAGGAAGGAAGGAAGGAAGGAAGGAAGGAAGGAAGGAAGGAAGGAAGGAAGGAAGGAAGGAAGGAAGGAAGGGAGGGAGGGAGGGAAAGGAAAGGAAAGGAAAGGAAAGGAAAGGAAAGGAGAGGGAGGGAGGGAAGGAAAGGACAGGAAAGGAAAGGAAAGGAAAGAGAGAGAGGGAGGGGGGAAGGAAGGAAGGAAAGAAGGAAGGAAGGAAGGAACTGCACTCATACATAAAGTAAGCTCCACTTTCTCCTTTGTAATGAAACATCATTAATACTGACTTCTTGTTGGGATAATTAAAGGCTGCCCATTGCCCCTTTGTCTTTATCCGCTAGTTAGATGCTGCTGCCGTCATCTGTGTCCTTGCTTTGTAAAGAGGCTTTTTTTCCTCAAAGAGCTTCTACCTACAATACTGTTCTGTCAGGTAACACCTGGTTTGAATGTTGAATTTGTTTACATACAAGTTAAGAAAATGAGCAGCTCTGAATTGGAAAGGTGATATTTCCTCTCTCCAATCCCAGGTATCAAAAAAGCATATTGTTGGTGAGGATTGATCTTACATTGTCAGTGTAGGCAGAAGATCTTTCAGTGGCCACACGGTCTTGAAGAGGAAGTACAGGGCTAGGAGCCAGCAGACTTGGGTTTCTACCTCTGGCTCAGTCCTTGATTAGCACTGACTCACAACTCCAGGCTTCCATCTCCTTAACTGAAAATAGTCATCTTTCTGTCTCAAAAACTCTATGCTTTTCCCCTTGGTTCATGGCCAAGGAAGTTTTATCTAAGCCCACACCAGGTTGACCATCCAATCTATTTAAATTTGAAAAAGTAGAATACACTGGCAGTGGATTCCTTTTGGGAAAAAAAAAAAAAAAAAAATCAGCAATGACCTAGTTAGAATCAGCCCAACTCTTTGTGACTATTCATGAGGCTCCTCCCTCAGCAACACACAGAATCCAGCCAGGTGAAATCCCAGGCCGCCTTTCCCAAGATGAGACAGAGCTTGCTTTCCGAAGACAAATGTGACCCAACAGCAAAGAGGTGGAAAAGCCCCAACAAAAACCACGGTCGTGACCCCCTTTGTCTTTTTGTTTGCTGTGGCTGCTCAGCATGACATATATGTAGCTATGTACAGTTGATGGATGAGAAGCATTTAGTAGCACAGAACAGCTTAGACAGAGGAGGCTTTCATCCTTTCTGCACATCACACCCTCCTCCATCAGCACCACATGTGTGAGCTTCCTACATATTCTCCAGAGGCAAGAAGACAGGAATGAGCACATTTCTCCTTTGGGCTCTGCCATTCCTGGAATATACAACCTTGTCAAGAACAGAAGATCACAGCTTTAATGTACAAGTAGCAAGATTCATAGGCTATAACATCTGCATTATAAGCTCACTGTCGTGAATAATGAGCCCATGTGGGTACATCTCTTATGACCGATGGAGAGTCTTCTCCCTTTAAGCCACTTTGGAATCCAGAGAACAGTCTTTTCTGTTGCCCACGAATGCTGAATTACACACCTTGTCTTTCTCTAAGCTGGACCATCTCCTTTTCATTGTAACACGTCTTGAAAAAGACCCATTTTTCATACAAGGTGCTGAACTGCTGCAGAAAGCCACAAAGGCTGCTGGAGCTGGATGTGTTGGGATGAGGGGTGGGAGGCCCTCTCTACATAGCTGAGTGCATCTGTCTCTGTATCTGTCTCTGTCATGGCTGTATGTGTCTCTGTGAGTCAATCTCTCTGTTTTTGTTTTTTGTTTTGTTTTGTTTTGTTTTTCTGCATTTCTCTGGGTCTCCCAATGCATGTCTTATCCCCTCCCTGCATCTCTCTCTCTCTTATTATGAATGTGGGTATCTCAGTGTGGGTTCCTCTGTCTTCCTCTCTTTTCTGTCTCTAGATCCAGAGGGACATCGAGACACAGCATTGGAAGGCTTGTGTCTGCACATGTCCTTGTATCTACGTGGCTCTCTTCTAGTCATGAGTCACCATGTCCCTCTGTCTTTATGTATCTGAATTTCTGTTTTCCCCTATGGCTCCTTCCTCTACTTCTGTTTTTTCTATATATCTTTGTCTATCTCTAAGATCTCAAATGTAAATAAACTTCTCCATCATCCCTGAGGCCTCTCATAGATATTGTTTATCATACCTTGATTTTTCATGCTAGGGAAAAGAAAGGGGCCACAATGGGAAATTTGGGGATACTGCTGATATCATATAGGATGTCCTGGGACGACAGAAGATTGAAGAGAGGGAGCAGTTAAGTAGAGCAAGCAACTCTCCTCACTCCCATCTAAAAGTTACTCAGGCTAATTTAAAAGCATTTTCAGACATGCCTGCTTAATTTTGGGGGCCAAAAAATTTTCAGTAGCCTAAGAATTTGAAGTGTGAATGTATTTCCAACTATAGCTAGGTGAGACTAGACTGTATAGGAGAATCCTTTTAATGAAGAAAAAATCATTTCCAATTATAATTAATCAAATTGCAATTTTAAAAGAAATGTCACATATATGACATATATGGGAATCCCTTGCTTTGCACTCACCTCCCAGGTTAGGAATGTAGCCTGGTTTCTTAACTTGGGCCGTTGATGGGATGACAAGATAATTCAGAAGAAGCCTTCTGTTGAAGACAAAGTATAATTGCATTTATTAAATATCATTATTAGTCTGTTTTCAATTATCACAATTATTCAAAGCACCTGGGAAATTGTGGTCCACAGTAATTCCTTTTACTCCTTCACTTTATTCCTCTCCTCTCCTTTTCTTTTTTTTTTTTTTCAAGACAGAGTCTCACTCTCTCGTCCAGGCTGGAGTGCAGTGGCACGATCTCAGCTAACTGCAACTTCTGCCTCCCGGGTTCAAGCAATTCTCCTGCCCCAGCCTCCTGAGTAACTGGGACTACAGGCATGTGCCACCACAGCCAGCTAATTTTTGTATTTTTAGTAGAGATGGGGATTCACAGGTTGACCAGGATGGTTTCCATCTCTTGACCTCATGATCTGCCCACCTCGGCCTCCCAAAGTGCTGGGATTACAGGTGTGAGCCACTGCACCCGGCTCCCTTCTCCCCTTTTTTATATTGGAACCACTGACAACATAGGAACTGACTGCTGTGAGAGATGCTCCTCCTCCTTGGCCTGACCTGGCTCCACCTACTGAAGGAGCCCTAAATTTGGGAAGGTGGTGGATAGTGGAGAAGACATTGAGTGGCATGGAGAGAGAGAGACAGACAGCAAAATGGCTCCAAGCTCTCAAACAGCTCTCTCAGCTGGTCTGCTGAAATCCTCAGTGTTAAAGCCATCCCCTTGTCATGCACCTGTCTCCAAAGGATGTCCTTGTGTTTTAGGAATGTGTTGCCTAAGATAGGTAACACATTAACTCACTGGTAGAATTACTACCACATAAACATAGGCTAATTCATCACATCAGATATAAAATGAACACAGACAAGCAAATTTATTATGCTGGGTTTGGGAAGCAGGACTGACACTACCCAGGCAGGCGCCATGAGGAGGGGAGTTGAATCTCGACTACAGAAGATTGCTACCTAGGGATTAGAGGCCTACAAAGCAGAAGAGGAGAGCACAGATGAGACACCTACTTGTCCTCTGAGCAGAGTTGACAAAACTAATTGCAGGCAGTGGCCTAAAGTTAGTGAGCCAGAAATGAAGGGGGAATTGCAAGAAATTAGGATAAATTTACATAGTACCTAGGCCAGTGATTGTTAACCCAGGTAGCACATTAGAATCACTGGGGAGCTTTAAAAAATGCTTAGGCCCTACCTCCAAGAGTTTCTGATTTAACTTTTCTTGATTAGGGCCTGAAAAATGTTTGTTGTTGTTGTTGTGTTGTTTTTGTTGTTATTGTTGTTTTGAGACGGTGTCTTGCTCTGGCACCCCGGCTGGAGTACAGTGGCACAATCTTGGGCTTACTGCAACTTCTTCGCCTCCTGAGTTCAAGCAATTCTCCTGCCTCAGCCTCCCGAGTAGCTGGGACTACAGGCATGTGCCATCTGGCTAATTTTTGTATTTTCAGTAGAGATGGGGTTTCACCACGTTGGCCAGGATGGTCTCGAACTCCTGACCTCAGGCAATCCGCCCACCTCAGCCTCCCAAAGTGCTGGGATTAGAGGCGTGAGCCACTGTGCCCTGAAGTGGTATATTTTTAAAGCTTCCTAGGTGTTTCTAAGGTACAGCCAGCATCAAAAACCACTGATTCAATCGACAACTACTCATAAAATGCTGGATATTATTTTGACTTACCAGTCAAATAAAACCACAAAGAGAAGTGGGAGAAATGACTAGGATTTTATAACACTGAAAGGCAGAATTTCTCTATGATGGCCTGAATGGATCAATTCTGAAACACATAAGGAAAGGAGCAAAGCTAAACTGGAAGGGATTGAGAGCGTCAGGACTCTCTCCTGAGAGCACCACAGCAGACCAAAGTGAAGGAGGAGACTAGTTACATCAGGGATGCCCGTTGGAGACAAATATTCACAATGCCAGGATACTTCTGGGAGACTTTAGATGAATGACCCTCAGCCTTGACTGTACATTAGAATCACCTGGGGAGCTTTCAAAATCCCCAAATCCAGGCCACACTCCAGACCAATCAAATGAGAATCTCCAGGGGTGTGACCCAGGCAACCCCATTTTTTGAAGCTTCCCAGTTGATTCTAACATATAGCCCAAGTTGAGAACCATTGCTTTAGATATTTATTAATGTCGTTTGCATTAAACTTTTGCTCTTTTTTTTTTTTTAAGCTGAAAGGGGTACAGAGAAACCAGTAGATTCCCAGGTACGGAGACCAAAGACTAAAAACAAGACCAAAGGTTAGGTAAGAGTAAGGCAAATGAGAACAGAAAAAGAGAGGGAAGAAAAAGAAGAGAAGAGCAGGGCTAAAGAAATCTACAGAGAGGGAATGGAAAGGCAAGGAACGAGGATGGGGCAACGCTGCTCTCAGGGCCACAGGGTACCCAACCCCATCAATTAGCCTCTCTCCGTGCAGATCCCCTAAAGCCCCAGTCCGTGACAGGGGATGTGGACCCCAGCAGACATTGGCGTGGGAGGCTCTAGATCACCTCCTCGCTTGTTGTGGGTGTATTCCTTGGGCCAACCCTGAATCTCCTTTTGCTGCCATTTAAAAGTTTTTTTAAAAATTGAGTGGCAGTTTTTCCCTCACTCAAAACAGTTCATGGCCCTCATTCTTTGCATAACAATACATTGTTTCCAAGCCACAGGAATAGAAGATAAGTTAGAGGCCCTGTTATAGTCCAGCCTGCTGTCCAATGACTGAACCTTCTCCACAGCAACCCTGAGCAGGCCCCAAGCCCACTTAAGCCACTTCAGCAACCATGGCAACTGGCCCCTCTTGAGTAGTTCTTCGTGTAGGATCAGAATTAATTTCCCTGCAGTTTTTACACTTTGGATGTGGGTCAACTGATTGGAGTCATAGAGAACAAGTGAGATATCATGGGAACCTAAGACTAATCTCATTTCTTTCATCACCTGCTCTCCTACTATGTGGTTTGAGGTTCACCCTCCAACGCCAGCCACCTTGTCACTCTCCTCTAAATTCATGTAACTCCCCTTGCATCTCTTTGCATCCCTATATTCCAGAAAGAATCTGGACTGTTTAAGAGGCATCCAGCACTTCTGGGAAATCCACATTGCAAAGTGTTAAGATGAGAGTGTTAGCAACACTCCATATGCCAGAAACTCCAAGATTGTTATCTTGTTAAACTTTTAAATGCAAAAATGAATATGAAAGCTTTACCTCTGATATTGTGGAGCTCTTTTTTGCAGAGGTTACTCGACCCTTTAAGGCTTCTCTTATCTGGATATTTAACAAAAGAAGTTAAGAATTAGAAGATCATAAGAAGATAACACATATGCTTGGACCTGGCTGATATTGTGGCCAGGTACTGTGTTAGCAGTTAGGTTCTGTTGGAGGGATATGGAGGGATCAGTGACCCAGTGGAGTAGTCTTGGAAAAGGTGGAAAGATGGGGAGAGACAAGAGAGGTGGAGGTGGCACAGGATACTCACTTTCAGGGCCTTAAATATGGACCCAATGGTTGAGAAATACAGTTTGCCACAAGTTTGAGGATTCCTCAACATAGCTTCTTCTTTTTTTTTCTTGAGACGCAGTCTTGCTCTGTTATCCAGGCTGCAGTGCAGTGGGGCCATCTTGGCTCACTGCAACCTCCGCCTCCCGGGTTCAAGCAATTCTCCTGCCTTAGCTTCCCGAGTAGCTGGGATTACAGTCGTGTGCCACCACGCTTGGCTACTTTTTTTTGTATTTTTAGTAGAGACGGGATTTCACCATGTTACCCAGGATGATCTCAATCTCCTGACCTCATGATCTACCTGCCTCGGCCTCCTAAAAGTGCTGGGATTACAGGCATGAGCCACCTCACCTGGCCTAGCTTTGGCATTATTTTTATGGAGCACTTATGTAATCACTTCTCACAATTTGTCAATTATTCAAACAACCTTTTCTAGAGGAAGAAAGTACTATACGACTGGATATGGTGGCTCATGCCTGTAATCCCAGCACTTTGGGAGGCCAAGGCAGGTGGATCACTTGAGGTCAGGAGTTCGAGACCAGGCTGGTCAACATAGTGAAACCCCCTCTCTACTAAAAATACAAAAATTAGCCAGGCGTGGTGATGGGCACCTGTAACCCCAGCTACTCAAAAGACTGAGGCAGGAGAATCGCCTGAACCCAGGAGGTGGAGGTTGCAGTGAGCTGAGATCACACCAGTGCACTCCAGCCTTGGCAACAGAGTGACATCCCATCTCAAAGAAAAAAGTACTATACAACATAGCAACAGCCCATGAAATTCATCTTCCCTGACTAGGTCATCCTGTCCTTTTCTCTAAGTCTTGCCTGCTGAATACAGGCCCTCTTCTTATTTCTGCTATACAAAATATTATTCACCTTCTAAGGCCTTGTAGAAGTTCTGTGTTCACAATTCATATATGCCAAAGCCCTCCAGCTCAGGGTGGCTCCCCCTTTCCCTGCAGATGCCGTATTCTTTGTCACACACAGACATCAAACCACCCGCCAGGGATGGAGGACGGTGTGCTCAAGGGCCCACTGCGATTTGTAAGATACATTGGCACTTCTACTTACATTTCTTTGTTCGCACCCTTTTTCATTCTTAGGTTTCCCAATGTACTTAACACTTTTTAAGTTAATAATGAACACATCTAGGGATATGTGTTCACTGTGTTTCACTAATCCTAAAAGTTTGAAGACTACTGGTATATACAACTTTTGGTCAATGAATCATGTATGGTCCTGTGACACTTTTGAGTATTTACCTTTCATATCATAATTGTAAAGGTAAGAGGTTTTGATCTTGATAGAAGTTTCCATGGCTTGGAGTTCTTTGCACATCTCACCTAACACCGGTAAACTAAGTAAAAATGCAGCTGCTGGTACTTTGGCTACAGATACTAGTTGTGGTTTTACAGATAATAGAAACATAATCCTGTGGCATATGACTGGGCAGTACCTTAAGTGCTTTGTGTTTTTACCTACAAAATTGCATTTGTTCTCTGCCATAATCTAATGGAGAAGGCAGAGAAAACATTATTATCTCTGCATCCCAACTGGCTCTGTCGCCAGGCTGGAGTGCAGTGGGGTGATCTTGACTCACTGCAACCTCTACCTCCCGGGTTCAAGAAATTTCCCTGCCTCAGTCTCCTGAGTAGCTCAGACTACAGGCACATGCCACCATGCCTGGCTATGTTTTTGTATTTTTTAGTAGAGATGAGGTTTCGCCACATTGGCCAGGATGGTCTCTATCTCCTGACCTTTTAACAAACCTTTGATATTAATTTAATATAATATTACTGGCAGTAGGCTGGATGCAGTAGCTCATTCCTATAATCCCTGCACTTTGGGAGGCCAAGATGAGTATATCCCTTGAGCTCAGGAGTTCGAGACCAACCTGGGCAACATAGGGAGACCCCATCTCTACAAAAACTTTTAAAAATTAGCTGGGTGTGGTGGCATGTGTCTGTAGTTCCAGCTACTCAGGAGGCTGTGATGAGAGGATCATCTGAGCCCAAGAGGTGGAGGCTGCTGTGAGCCATAATGGTGCCACTACACTCCAGTCAGAGTAATAGAGTGAAAGTTTGTCTCAAAAAAAAAAAAAAAAAAAAAATTAACATGTCCTTTTCTCTAAGTCTTGCCAGCTGAATACAAGTGCTCTTCTTATTTAGTAAAAAATAAATAAATAAGTAAAAAATAAATAGTAAAAAATAAATAAGCAAACAAACAAGAAACTCTGCAGTGAAGGTGGGCTGCTTGGGGGAAGGAGTGGATTACGTTTTTGTTTGTTTGGGGTTTTTGGTTTGGTTTTGTAAATCCAACCTGGTACTGTTCCTTTTTATTTTTATTTATTTATTTACTTTAATTGACAGAAGGGTTTTGCATTTATATCTGAGAGGGTTGTTTGCTTTACTTTTTCCAGAAGGTAGTATGGTACAATGGAAAGAGGGTGGTTTTAGAAGCCTCAATAAACATTTGAGGGGTTGTTCCTTTGCTTGGTTTTTATTTGTTTTCAATGCTCATCACTTGTCAAGACTCATCTGCATTTGAAGAGTTTCTTTTCTTGACTCCACTGCTATTCAAGATACAAGTAGGAACTCACACTTCCACCCAACCTTGCAGCTAAGACATGACCATGTGACCTGAACTCAGCCAATCAGACATGACAATGAATAAATGCGGGTGCTGATGTACCAGACAGGCAGGGTGAGGCAATCTCTCAGGCAGCAGTAGCAGCAACTCTGGCTTAAGTGTTTACTGCCTGACACTGGCCTGGTGAGCTGTGCTATCTGTGCCCAGCAAAGCGGGGAAGAGCAATGGTATTTCTTGTGGAGCATTTCTGTGCTGTGCATTGGTAACTATTCCTGGAGCAGAGCCTCCAAAACTCCAAGCCGAAGAGACCCTCCCAAAGATAATACTGCAAGATTTAATAAGTTCCTTTTCTGCTTCAACTAATCAGAGTTGGTTTCTGTACTGATCTTGAGCAAGCTGTTCACTCTGAGTCTCAGTTTCCTCATCTATAAAATTGAAAATAGCAATACCTACAATTGTTTTAAGAATCAGCAGTAATGTACATAAAACATTCATTCCCATAAGAACTTGCAAGCTGGTCAATATCATTTGCATTGTAAAGAGCAGTGATCCAGGCTTCATACATCTGTACAAATGACTGAAGTGAGAGCTTTTCAATAAATAGCCTTTACAAGCCTTTACATGGCCAAGTACCGATAATGCAGAAAAAGCAACAAGAAGAATTTACATTCAGTACCTTTGGATCCAGGATGGTTCCAAACACTAGGATGAAGCAGCCCTGGGAAACACAGAAGAGGGAAGAAGAGTCATTTACAAAAGAATGATGATGATAAAACACACTCTCAGTTATTACCAATTCCTATTTTGATAAAAAGAAAACAATTTTATGAAATCTCTTAATTTATCATCCTTAGATCACAACACCTAGATTCATTCAATGAATACTGATGAGTGTCTTCCATATGCCAGTCACTGTAGAGGTACCTCAGTAAACCAAAGAGACCAAGGTCCCTACATCATACAGGAATATTTTTAAACTTTCCTTTTAAGTTGGGCAAATTAAAAGTGTTTGCACTTAGCAGGAGCTGGGCCTCTCAACTGAATATAATGATCCAAGAAAGAATCAGAGGAGGTGTTGGGCAACGAATCCAGGCTTGCCATCCTTGAAGAGTAAGTAAGAGAAGCCTTCCACAGAAAAGAGCAGAAACAGCTGTTGCTCAACTTCCCATAACACCTTCAACCTCCTTCCTCATCCACTACAAAGAATATTATAAAACTTGCAAAGAAAAGTCAAGTGTATATATCCTCAAAAACTTAATGACTTTAAATAGACTGAGTTTCTAAGCACATGACAAGTATTCCCAATATGATGATGTAGAAGGAATTAATTAGCTTTTATATCTTTTATTTTCCATATCAAACAAAAAACCCCATATAAAACCCAAAACAGTCTGTTCCTCTATAGCTACAGTCCATTTGAAGTTTTTACTTCTGTTTCACGTACATTGATACAAAACCCCCCTTGACGAAGGAATGGCAAGTTGTAGTTCCATTTTTCAGTTAAGGAAAAGGCAGCTGAGATTCAGCATTCAAAATGTGATAGACAGGAACATTCATTAGACAACAATTTCTCCTAAATGTGCAGTTTCTCCATCCATGGCTCACCTGAAAAGGGAGGTTAGGTAATGACCTTTTATTTAGGAATACCCTTGCTAAGCTGCTCTGACTTCATCAGTGAGTGTGAACTCTTACCTGAACTCTTACCTACCCGGAGGCCTGTTAACGGGCATGGGTTTTATATAGCTGGCACCATAAAGATGTAACAAGCTGATATTCATCGCTGAGAACAATACCAAATCTGCCACTATTTGGTAAAAGCCCAGATGAGAGGTGGAGAACTTTACAGGGACCAGTGTATATCCTTGCCGCTAATCCAGTCCCCCAAACACACTAATGTACACCTTCCTATTCAGTCAGTCCAACCCTCAAAAGCTTAATCTCCATGTAGCTTTTATGAGATTGTTCTTCTGTGTAACACTCTGAGCCTACAAGGTAATTATTGAAATCTCTTATTGTATCTGCTACAAAAAAAATTATTGTTGTCATGGTCCATTATGTTGCAAAGTTATCATGCTTATAAGGCCCCTTCTGATAAATATATTCCAGCCTGATTTTGGTACTAGGAATACATTTCAAGTCAGGATCTCCATTAATTTGGGCCAGGAATTATATTTTTAAAGATCTGGGAAACACAATGCTAGCATGCTTTTTTCTACAAATATGCTGATGGCTAATATTCTTTGGCTAAAGAACTAAGAGGAATTTCTCTTCTTATAGGATTTTTAATTCCTTGGGGTTGGTCTATCTATATTTGTATCTGCAACATTAGGCATAATGCTTGGCACAAAATAAGTAGTAAATGTGGTGTCTCTTCATTTGAGTGTATGTATGTGTTTAATTTCTTTATTATGCAACCTGCACTTTTATAGTCATGTCACATGACTATAAACATGACTTTAACATGACTTTATAAACATGTATCAGGGAAATACTCCACTAGGATCACTTTTCGTTGGCCCGTGCCACCTTAGATAAAGTTATGCAAAATATCTTTCAGAAGATTTGGATTAAAAGATTGGCCATAAAGTTTGGTATCTGGTTGAGAAGGGAAGAAAGAATATACCTAACAAACAATTCACCAGTAGCAGCTTCTTCGCATTTCTTTTAGCAGGTAAAACACAGTTTGGACAGGTAACTCTCAAGGTGTTCTCCCAGGTTTTGGTATATGTGCTTTATTTTTTCCCACCAAAATGGCTATGAGGGAGTCCCAAAAACTCACCCAGCCCACAATCACTCTCAGTAAATACAACCAGAAGTTATGGATGGACAAGGTGGGTAGTCGAGGCAGCAACTGACACCATAATAAAACCTCTCTAGTAAAGGGGATGGGTGAGTTTTAAAACTAGTGCAGGTATTCCCCTGGGGCTAAGACCAGGAAATCTTTACAAGAGTCTTCCTCCCACATCCTCTGGGCCTCTCAATATGTTTCAGAATCTCTCCCCTCTGTCTGTGCTCCATCAGCCTCTGCTGCTGCCCCTCATCTCATCCTAAGACTCCACTTCTCCTGCTTTCTACACCCAGTTGGTTGTGTCTCCCATCTCAGTAGATCCATGGCTCCTCTCTCTCCTCCCTCAGAGGATGCCCTGATCCAGTGATATGCTAGTAAATGGCAATAAACTCTCCTTATTTGTAGTGTTCGCCAATCTCTATAGTTAATTACCCCCACCATGGCCTATTTGAATCTTGCCCTGTGACATCGCTGAGCATGGATTTAGAAAGAGATGGGCAGTAGCACATCATTGTACAGATTTTCCACCATGCAGACACAATAGAGGCAAGTAACCTCAAGAGAAAAGGTAGACAAATAATTAGGAAGTGATGAGTTCTGAGGATACATGACCTTTACTTTTAACCCAATTTGTTTAATTGCAAGTCCATATGATTTAATTGTTATTGATGACTGTGTTCATAGCCAGCTCAGAACAATCCTGAAAATGTAACAGGCAGCTCCTGTGAGTCAATACAGGCCAGCACCAACACAGCACTGCCCAGTGCCCCCTACTGGCCTCACCAACACTTTGTTCTCAGCTCCTCACTGCCCCGTCTGCACTGGTGTTTAGGTAGGCCCCTCCCTGCTCCTTACTGGGATTCAAGGCAGAAATGAAATTGAAAGCACAAGTGATCCTACAATGACAGGTAAAGGTGCTCAAGATATCAAAATGCAAGTGCTCACAGCCTTGTCCAAAACAAAACTCACAGGGAAGACGGCCCTAAGGGAGACAAGAGAAGGAAAATACTGTGGAGTGAGTCATGAGCTCATGAGGGGTTTATGAAAAATAGGGTTTTTACCCTAGTCTTTTCAATGACTAGTTTTGTAAACATGCATAAAGCAACTGATAACTACCAAAAGCTATACAAATGTAGGATACAATTAATATTTTCTATAAAAGTGCAAAAAAAGTAGAGACTCAAAATATGAAATACCCCTATTGTTATTAACTTTGTTCTTCAAGACATCAAAGTGTTTATTATAAAGTGAAATCATTTATACATAAATTCTGAAAAAGGAAAACGAGAAGACACTTGACTTAAGATATCTATTAGCAATTAGGTGAAGCATTTACTTGAAAATAGTCTTACTGGCTACCGCATGCATTCAGAAAAAAAGATAATGTTTTAGATATCTTTAGAAAAATAAAAGCTTGCTTTTCAATTAGTTGCTATCTACATATTAACATTCAATATAATAAACTTTGGATCATTCACACACTATAACATAAAAAAATGGAAAAAAAAAAACAAAATTTCAATCAAGAAGGAAATTATTGAATATGCAATGCTATGCAGCCATTAGAGACATACTCATACACAATGAGCTGGTAAAATTCTAGCGCATATTTTTAAATGCAAAAGCAAGTTACACAATCATATACCTTGTTTTAACCCCTGTGTTATGTGAAAATATATTTGTATGAGCATAGAAAATTTGGCAAAGGATGCACATGAAACTGTGAACATTGCTTAATTCATCTAAGTGTGATAAGAGAAGAAAGGAGAAACAATCTTTGATACTTTTTCTGTATAGCTTGCCATGTTAAAATAAGATGGTTTCCAATGGTAGCTAAAAATTCTAAGTGGAAGGAAATGTAATAAATGTGCAAACTTTAATACCTCCAGTTATATACCTAAATTTTGGGGAAGGTGTTATTGCTTAATTTTTAAACCATAACAACTTAGCCTATTACTAGGTTGTCTATGATCTTTAGATCATTTTAGTACTTGATCCTTTCCCATTCAGCATTTAATTTCATTTTCCAAACACTCCTATAAAGTGGACAGTATTGCACTCATTTTATATGTGAGGAAAATATGGCTCGAAAAAGTTGAGTAAATATCCCAAGATCATGTTATACATTATTAGTAAATGAAAGAGTCAGGATCCAAATCCAGGTCTCTCTGGAACAAAAGTTTATTTCCCCACTCCATATGCTATTCCGAATCCACTGGCTTTTACATAGAAATCTAATGCCACAAGGTCCTAATCACAGAACATCTTCATGAATTCTCTCACTTTAGACTTGGTCAGAAGCATCTGGACTTACCTGGAATGCATTGAGCAGGGAGAAGATAATGTGGAAGGCCAGGGATCTGTCATTGATGACGGTGGCTACTCCAAATCCCCAGGTCAGTCCCAGAAGTGGTGTGAGGATGGCAATGTTCTTGCTGATTCTCACAATGGCTCTCACTTCCTGGAACATGGAATTGCTGATGGCAGGTCGCTGGGTCTTGACAATCACCAGTGTGACTGTGATCAGGTTTACTACCACGATGGCCAAAGCTGGGACCACGAAGGCCAGGAGGGCTCTCGTCATATCCCAGTTGAGCCAGCAGGCCTCAGGTCGTAGGTAGCCTTTGCCAGGTTCAGTGGCAGCAACCGTGATGGCAGCAATGACCAAAGGGCATCCATAGCCCACTGAAAACAGAGATGCCACCAGAACCGACTTGGGCAAGGTATGGAAAACAATCATGATTCCATAGAGGATAAGGAGTGCCTTGGCAAACATCCAGAAAAATACAGAAAGGTAAAAGAGATGAACAAAAAATGTGGCTGCCACACATCCCTTGTGGTATGTTATTGGACCACTAAGAAAGGAAGCTACAATGAACCACACATCAGCCATCAGCAAAGTGGCTGCAATGTTAACAATGCACACATGGCGTAAATAGGTGATCTCTGTCTTTGTCACTTGGCTCCAGACTAGGACCTCAATGGACAAGCAAAGGATCAGGCTGCAAATAGAAATGCCCAGGCCTACATATGTGATATAAGTCAGGATCAGACTCTCTAAGATGTGAGGTGACATAAGAATTGAGAAAGAGGTAAACAACTTGCTTGGCCTACATTTGCAAACAGCTTGCTGGGAGTTTTCTTGAATCATTTTGCAGGCCTGCTGGTCCCATCTGTTCTCCACAGAGTGCCAGCCAACACACTGTGTCCTCCTCTCCTCTGACTTGCTGATCTTTTCAAAAGTTAGTGAGATTCTTTTAAGTTCCTTGGGCAAAATGACAGACAGGACAAGCCCATTTATAGTAACATTTTCCAAAAGATTGGCTTCCAAAATAGCCCCAATAGTTGGAAATGCAATGCTGATGACCTGAGAAGGGGAAGGCACCTTCCAAAGTTCATCTCTGCTGATCAACACTCTCCCAGTGACTTCATTGCTGGTATCATTAACTCTCATCGAAAAAGTGAAATTTTTTCCAATGTTATCTCCAGATATGGTGGTGCCCATAGTATGAATGAAGACATCTGGTATGTCAACGGGATATTTATCTATGAATAGCCTTCTTGCAAAGGAGTTGACTGAGTCTAGTAGGATATAGCTGCTGTTTCTGTCAGGAATGAAAGTCCAATTGGAGATGCTTTTGCTATTAAGAATGTGGTTGGCTATGGTGCTGTAACTCTGACAATAAAGAACCAGTGTTAGTACTGAGCCACTCTCTGAAACTGCCAGTGCATTCAACACTCACTTTTATAAAGCGTGCTCCTTCAACCAGCAACCTAAGCATACTCTGGGAACTTCTTAGCAATATAGAATCTCAGATCCCACCCCAGATTTAATGAATCAGAATCTGCATCTTAATAAGATCCCCAGGTGACTTGCATGTACACTGAAGTTTGACTTAGATGATAGAGCTACAAAGGAATTGCCTCACTATGCCCTCCTCCATTTATGCAATGGCCTCCTGCGAGCCAGGCCACTGGGCAGCTTTCCACATGCTCCTGTCCATCATTCCCTCCACATCACACCTAGGCAAAACTAGCAACTTGCTTACCCTGCTCAGAGAACCCATCACGTGTTTAACCTCTGTTGCATCCCAAATGTGTTGCAGGGCCCTATACAAGAACGTAATAAATTGGAAATTCACCCTGAAGTCTGAATCTACTTTTTATTATCTTTGCTTTGAAGATCAAAACTAAGCAAAATGGACCCAGTTCTATTTCATGTGTCTGCAATGGATAGGTATGGCTGTTTTTGTTTTGTTTTGTTTTGTTTTTCCATTCAATTATTTTCCATTTTAGCAACTATCCTAACTCACAAATGAAAATAAGAAAAGTCTTTCTCTCTCCAAAACAGAATGTTTCTTAAATGTATTCAGTAGCCAAAAGATACATTGGTGAATCATACTCCAAAGTTCACTACAGTACCAAGTAAGTGCTCTCTATAAATATTTGTTGATTAAATATGTTTACTTTTTCTATTCATTTATTCATCCTTTCTTTAATGAATATTTACTGAACACTTGCTTTGCTAGACATTAGAAATACTGATGTGAAAGAATGGTTCCTAGTCCCTAAGAAGCTCACATAATACTCGAACTAACCTGCATTCCTTTCCCACTGAGATAATGTTCTTCCAAGTATTCAGGGACACTCACCCGCATCTTTTCCTCATCAACACCTGTCCATAATGCTGTTGATATGTTGTGTAAGAGCTGCACAATTATGGCAATGTTTCCTGGTATCCGGGGTGACTGCTGAATGCCTCTAATTACACAAGACAAATCTGTGGGACACTTTTGTAGCAACATATCTGATATGGTCTCAGACTTTCCAGTATATACACTTATTTTTATATTGTCTTCAAATGGCTGAACCAAATGTGAATCCTCCTACGATATGGCAAAAAGAAAGAAATTTTTATAATTTTTATTTTTGTGTTAAACGTAAAAGTACCTTTACTAAAACTTAGGACAGCCTAACATAATGTTTTTCTGTTTTACACTTTCAGAGTCACATCTGCTGTCAAATAACTTGACCAATACCGAGTTGCATGAACCAGCAAATAAAAGTCCCTACTTCCCATCTACCTATTCTTTAATCCCCCTCTCCCCAAATAACAACTGTTATCTTCAGCATATCACTTCAGAGAACCTGTATATATAGAAATTTCTAGTACCATTTAAGCTTATTTGTAATATTTATGAAGGGCAAATCATGAGTGATGAGTCTATCTTAAAAATAGAAATTTGAAACTCGATTTGGATGAATCAACTGCAACACCAAGACTGAAAATAGCAATAGAAAGCATCTCCCATAGATTCAGACTCTGGTTCCCATACTTTAAGGCAGGGGTGGCAAACTATGGACCCAGACCGGCTGCCTGGTTTTTGCAAATAAAGTTTTACTGGAATGCAACCTGCCCGTTAATTTAAACACTATCCACAGCTGATTTCACGCTACAATGGTAGAGTCGAGTAGGCACGACAGAGACCATGTGACCCACAAAGCCTGAAATATTTCTGTCACTTTACAGAAGTTTACTAACCCTTGCTTTAGAGGACCCCCTTCTGGCCCTCCTGCAGCCTGCCCCTTCCCATGGCCAGGAGTCCATGAGCACAGACTTTCACATACTCCAAGTTTAGAAGGCTATTTTTGCATAGAAAATGAGACTAGTGGATGCTTATCTATTCACCCATCCCTACACGTTGCCCTGCCACATGCTCGCCCTCTCTCTTACTGAGGGCAACATCCACTGCCAAGGGGAGTCTCCACTGTGCTCATACAGTGCACATCAGAATCCATATTGCAAAGAAAAGATATTACCTCAAAGATGTTGACGGCATTAAGAGTCCGACAGGTGTCAGTGATCTTGTGCCATGTCTTTTTCCTGCATGAAAACCGCATATTTCCCTGAGTGTCTGGAGGGCAAGGTTGAGTACACTGGGAGTTGTCTGTACAGACACCATCGCATACACCTGGGAAAATGAAAGAAGACCGTATCAGATGGGAAGGTCTGGGCTCTGGGCCCATTGGGCCAGTCACCAAGGTGTCACTGCCAATGACAGCACATAAATACTGAAGACATCAGTGTCTTCTCTTCCTAAAGTGGAGGAAGACTGAAATGGATCAGTGGTCATCATCTATTTTAGCAACAAAATGTTATTGTTTCCGACAAAATCTTATCCTGAACTGCAGTGTATAAAATAGATAAAAGTGGAACATGGCCAGGTACAGTGGCTCACACCTGTAATCCCAGCACTTTGGGAGGCCAAAGTGGGCAGATCACGAGGTCAGGAGTTTGAGACCAGCCTGGCCACATGGTGAAACTCCATCTCTACTAAAAATACAAAATATTAGCTGGGCATAGTGGCGTGTGCCTGTAATCCCAGCTCCTCGGGAGGCTAAGGCAGGAGAACTGCTTGAATCCAGGACACAGAGGTTGCAATGAGCTAAGATCGTGCCACTGCACTCCAGCCTGGGAGACAGAGTGAGACTCTGTCTAAAAAAACAACCACCAAAAAAAATCTGGAACTGTCCCAGGTGAAGTGAGAGGGACAAACCCACAGTGCAGTCCACTAGGTCACTCTCACACCCTCACAGGAACCCCTGAATACTTCCTCAGACCCCTGAAGCTCCCAGATCAGCTCTAGTTGGAATCCACTGCTTCCAATGTTTTCTAAGAAGTCTCTCAGCTCAGGAACTCTATAATATGTTATATCATCAATGACTTCTCACAGACCTGTTCTAGCCACTGGACCAGTTTGAATGGGCTCAATCCAAAGGATCTATGGCAAAGAATTCTCAGACAAGGGTGGAGCACAGGGTACTGGGATGAGAGAGGAACAGGGTGGGGTGAAATGTACAATTTACTACCTGGTACTATGCTCACTACCTGGGTGGGATCATTCGTACACCACACCCCAGTGACATGCAATTTGCCAGTGTAACAAACCTGCACGTGTACCCCCTAACGTAAACGTCAAAAAGAAAAAAAAGGCAAAGGTACAATTTAATATGAAGGAAATAATCAGAGTCCAAATGCAAGTCATCAAGGATTCCATCTGCCATGCCACAGGACAGAGGGCTGAGAATGGCCCTCTATTACAATAGATGGACAGCAAAACTTCCATGTGATAAGTAACTGCTGCCAACATACCGTATGGCCTGGCAGGCACCTTCTCCTTGCTTTTGCTGGCAGCCTAGAAAGGGAAAATCAAAATTTGCATCAAAATCAATTGTTGATATGCCAGCCCAACAGCTCACGTTAGTCACAAACAACCACAGTTAAATTAACTATGATACCAGCATGGCCCACCCAAAGCTGAGTCCATGAATTACGGCTCCTCCGTGACCCCATTTTCCCTTCAGCTTGGACCACTTTCTCTCCCACTGCTACCCAGTGGGAGCACTCCTCTCTCTCCAGTAAGAAGAGTCTATGTTCTATCCAGGAAACATGTTATGAGCAGAAGTGGATTGAGCAGGAAATTGACGAAGGTGAAGCCTCAGAGAGCCTTGCTCATATGGGACCTTTTGAAGCCCTGGGAAAGGATCTAGCAACAAGCAGATCATCTCATGTGTTCATGTGATCATATGTTTTATTAAATTCTCAAAAGCAAAATGTTTTAACCACCTACCATCTGTTAAGACCATCATTTTGTGCCATTTCAGTTCTGCCTCCTTCATACTCTCTCTCATTTTGGGTATCACTAGAGAAGCCATATCTATTCATGGATTCTGGACAAGTTAAGCTGGGATACATTTAGTTTGAATTTAGTAGGATATAGTTATGTAGTTTCCAGTCACTTCTGCGTTACAATGAGAACATCATCACTTAAGTGATATCAATGCCAAGAACATTTACAATTATTCACAGAACAAGAAAATTCTAAGTTCCCTGATACCTTGCAGCTCACATATGAAATAAATTGGATAGAATTTTCCCAAATTTGATAACAGTCCAACATGCTTACATGCCATTACTAATAATAAATTAGAAACTGAAAGATACTTTTCTAAACTAGGAATAATGAGAAACAAATTTGATCAATAATGCTGAAGGAAAGACTGAATAATATTTCTATTCTCTCTACAGAAAAAACAATAAGATCATGCAAGTATGCAGTCAAAAATGTAGGAACTAAAAGGTGGGCATTTCATTAATAAAAAATATTGTTTTATTACTGAATAATGCTAAATAATACTATCCAGCATTTCTAAATTTGAAATTTGTTGTGATTCCTGTTCCCATTCTAAATAAATTTTCACTTTTCCCTTAGTTTTATATGTGCAATATTGCATTCTTTTTCCTTAGGAGAACTCCCCCAAAACCTAGCTCCTGCACACCATGAGCATCTCCATCAGTCCTAATTAGAACCCCCTCTTTGTCCCATCCATTGAGACCATATCTGACCCTTCACTAAGAAAGTGTCACATAGTGGTCAAGGGATGTACTCTGGGAGTAGACAACCTGGGTTCAAATCTCAACACCAACATCTGAGACCTTGGGAAACTTTATCCCTCTGAGCCTCAGTTTCCTCTTCCATAAAGTAGAGTAGGAACTATAGTACTATAATTGTATGATACTTGCCCTAGAACATGTTTATGAGGAATAAATGCGCTCATCTATGAAAAGCACTAGGAATGGGCTCTAAGAATACTATAAGTCTATTTAAGGATTTACTACTGTTATTACTCTGCACATACACTTACGAATGTCAAACGTCAATTACATACAAAGCTCACGTTTCCCCCTTCCAAGAGATCTTTCCTGATCCAGTTCTGTACATGATACATCTTTTCCTCTGGCTCCTACAGGGATCATCATCCATACAGCCATACGCACATTCAATGCTTGGCATATTCTCACCTGACCTGCCATTTTGCTATCTAATCTTTTTTATAGAAGCATATTAACTCCTCAATTAAATCGCAAGTTCCTTAAGAACATGTACTGTATATTGTGCTTCAGTATATTCCTCCAAGTAGCTAGTTCAGTGTCTTGTGCATATGTGTGTATGCATATATACATTTTAGTATGCATATATATACACTGACATATATGTACATGTGTGTATGTGTGTGTGAGGAGAGAGAGAAAGACTCAGTTTTCTTGCTTCTGCACCAGAATAGTGTTTCCTAGTGGCTGAGAAGAGCCTTGACCCAATTACTGCAACTTGGGCTCCAAGTTCTAATCCATTGAGGAAGAAATTGGAAATTCACTGACACAGCTCTGTGACTAACTCTAGCGGTTCATGCCAACTCATGGGGTTCTTCTTCACAACCTTACTTCTCTCTATGTTATCAACAAACAAAGCTCAATATTCCCTGTTTTCTCTACTGAATAAGAACTTGTGGGGTATCTGAATTGAGCTTTTGGGATCTCTCCGAAGTCAAGAAAGTATCACTGAGGATTCATATCTGTGAAATCACTGACAGAAGATGACTTTTCATTTTCTAGTCCAGAGAATCAAGCCTTATTTTATAAGTGGAAGAATTAAAATTCTTGCACCAAACAAGAATGCTAAAATAACATCTTCAGAATTTTGGAAGACTTTATAGATCATCCAATCCAGCCCTCTTATTTTACAGTTAAGGAAAATGAGGCTTGATATTGCAGTGATTTGTACAAGTCCATGCAGGAAATGCCCCTTACAGCTAGGATGAGAACTTAGATCTCCTGATCCTACAATATTGTTTTTTCTAAACAGCCAGCCTGTGTCCAAGGGCAACAGGCAGAGGGGATGAGTGGAAGGAAATACAGGCATCTCAAGATACTCAACACCATCTTGATAAGACCACGGTGTTCAATGCACTGTGATAAATGCAGTTACAGGTCAACATCTCTGGATGATATTTGGTCCATTAAATAAACTCTAGTGAAGTCACATTATATTTATCATGTATATGGGGCAGAAAACCATGATATTCTGTTTACTTGTAGTTCTGAAAACTCTGCCTTCTTAAGGGAAGGATCTGATTAATTTCTTCCCATCTAATTTGCAAAGCACATCACATACTCCTCTGGTTATTTCATTTCTAGTGTATCATCCAGTATAGATTACTTTAGCTTGGGATACCAACCGTCCCCAACCTAATACTATGAAAAAAAGAGGCCTGCAAACCGGCAACCTGCTGAACCTGCTGAGCTGCCTGGGTGCATAGGCAGGTCAGGAGCCAGCAGTATCAGCAGCTCAGCAGCTCAGCACCCAGTAACTTGTCTAATGAGAAGAGAAGGATAGAATGTTCCCAGTAAGGTAAATCCCAATGATCAAGAGAAACAAAGCCAACCTCCCATGCTCTATCTACTGTCCACATTCTGTCTTGTAGAAAAATGTGAATGCAGAAATGGAATGAAAGGAGGAATTAGTAACAAACTGTAGGGTTGACAGCCTTCAGGAAATGGTCTTTCCAAGAGTCTCTAACTTCTCCCAGAAACCAGGTACCTGTTTAGTATTAGTGGGGAAGGGGAGCCTTGCAGAAGATTCCCATGCAAAGACAAACTAACTTGAGGGTAAAGTAAATATCATTTGAAAAACTCTTGGAAGGAACTTCCAAAGTCATTTTTTCCTAAAAAGGCTCTTGTTAAGAAGACATACATTAAAATGGAAAGATCAAGAAGCCGAGAATCTGAAAACAGGGGTTCTGGCCTTGGCCCTGTAACTGAGTAAGTATATACTTCAAGCAAATCACATCTCACACCATGGGTCTCCATCCCCCCAACTGCAAAATAAGGGCGTGGAGTTTCACCAGTTGATCTCAAAGCTCCCTTCCAGAACTTGTGGTCAAATAATAGTACTCTCTTCAGAAGATGCTCAAATGTTTTCATGTATCCTCTCTCAAGTGCTCCTCCACAGCTTATTTTAAATGAGTAACTAACAGGGAAATTAAAATTACTTATGGTGTCAGGAAAAATATTTCAGAAAGAGCCATAGGGCCCCCTGTCCTACAAAATTTAAAATAGTCCATTGCCAGAAACTCTGTCCCAGTGAGACGTCGCTTAACCACTGCCTGAGTTGCTCCTTCCAGCTCCTTCTAGCTCCTTCTAGCTCCTCATTGCTCCTTCTAACCCATTCATGGTTATGGTTTCTTATGGGAGTTTCTTCAGGTTTCTTATGGGAGATGTTTCTTATGGGAGTTTCTTCAGGTTTCTATCAGGTTTCTTATGGGAGATGCTATTGCCATTTTGGATGGGACAATGCTTCATTATGCCAGGCCATTCCTAGGCCCTATCTCTTTAGAGGCCCTACCTCTAAATGCCACTAATACCTCCTGGTCATTGTGGCAACCCTTACGACCCCCACATTTTCAAGTACCCCCAGGAAATGGTACCACCCTGGTTATGAACAACTGAAACATTCACTATCAGAAGATATAGAACAAAGTATTTATTACTCTTAAATCACTTGAGCCTCATTGCATCTCAGGAACTCATGGGAAAAGGGTGAGAGACAAACAATGTGTAGCTATTGGCTAAAGTGGGTTTTGGTTAGCTGTAGTTGTAATTACTTCTGGCTGGGCCAGTTACTCTATCACCATCTTTTCCCTATACTTCAGCTCTCTGGTAACTGAGAGCTGGTAGCTGATGGATTTTTTTGTCCATTTGCTTTCCCCACCAGCTCATCCTCCACTCCTTCCCCTTTTCTTACCTGGTACAACGTCCTACATGACTCTGTGGGCAAAAGAAACACCAAGCAGTACAGCAAAAGTGTATGAGCCATTGTCTTCCACACAGCTGACTTTCTTGTTTCTACAAGAATAAATAAAAAGGCAAAATGTCTCCAATCTGAAGCTTTCATAGGCTCCATGCCACTGCAGACCCAATCAGTTCACCTATGAGACTGGGCAGTCTTCCTCTTCCATGCTGCCTACTCAGACCTTTCTGCTCCAGAGTCAGTGTCCTGTGACCTCCCATTGACTTCGTTCTCTAGGAGGCTGCAGTGAGAGCACAGGGAGCACTGGGAGACAGAGGTAATTGCTGAGATATCCCCCACCCTCTACTGTTAGCTTGCACGTCACTCCTAACATGAGAACCCCTCCAAAGGAAGCTACTGCCTGCCAGATTTCACCTTGCCCGCATGGATATAATAAATAACAGCCTGTATTCAGGGAGCAGGAATGATGCTTCAGTCTCTGGGTTAGGCAGGGCTGAGAAGTCTGTGAATGGCTACAGTACAAGATGAGCCGGGGTTCCTATGGGCAAACTCAGCCTAGAAATATCTTTTGAAGAGGCTTGGCCTGTTATTCCTCACTCCCACCTAACTCTGGAGCCGTATGTTCATAGGTAACTGGTGATTTCTTCAAAACCGATCTTCAGCATGGTCTGTTATTGTTATTTCTACCAGGAGTGATATCAAAACTAAACTGATTCCTCGACACCTAAAACAGTGCTTGATACATGGTTGGCACAGAGTATATTCAGAAAAGAAAGAGGAAGGTAGGGAGGAGGGATGGAGGGGAGGTGGGTGGGAAGTGCTCATAATTTGCATCAGAGTCTGTGCTCTACAGAGGACTTACCTAAGCTAAGAAATTTAGTATTATACTTTAATAATGTTAATATATTTTATCTTGAGTTGAGATCATCCTTGAAAGTGATTTGCTGTTTCTTCATTTTTAGTTAAAAGGATTCAGAAGACTTGAATGTAATCAACAAAGGCCAGAAGCAATCACAATGGTTTATATTTGCTATTTGACCATTTTTAGCCAAGAAGAACTCTAGCCCAATCATGCATAATTCCATAGGAAACAATGTCATTATTTGAAAGACTAGGCAAAATTCATTTTCCAATCATGTTTCCTCCATCGAAATACTTGTCTAGCTAAAATTCCACTGAAATTCAGTGATTATTTAAAATATTTTGTATTGCCTATCTCAGCCTAGTATTAATACAGCTGTCCAAACATTTGTAGTTCTTACTCAAAGAGGCTACTTTGTTACTCATCACTTTAAATGTATTTTGTAGCAATACAGATGGACACACAATTTCAAGTAAAATTGCCAGCCATATTTTCATCCTTTATTCCTACCTAAGTTATTCGAACACATGAAAATTATGGTATAAAAATCATCAAACTGACCTATCAGAATCATCACCAATGCAATTACTGCTTTGGGCAAAATATTCAAAATTGGAAAAAACTGAAGCCATTGATGAATTTGATGACATAATGCTCATGAAACTTAAGGATGACTCCATGTTTTTCTGAATCAAGTTGATTTTATCTTTCAAAACTCTCCTCATAAAGAATGTTCTTTTTCTTAATTAAAACTAATTCTAAAAAATGATTTAGGGGGTGACACAAGACAACAAACTTTCATAATGTTAGCACTACTCAGCACGGAAGCTCAAGTAGATATTTTTTTAAAAAAGGTGTATGATCAGCTGAGTTCTGCAAATCAGGATGAAACTCATTCTATTTGCTTCAAATTTTAATGTAATATGTTGAAAATCTGTTTATTAAATTGCCATTTTGCTTTGCATTTTAAATATAGTTGTTATAATTTTTATCAAAAATGCTTTTGATTATTACTAAAATTATACTTCCGTTATGTCCAAATGAGGGCTTTGTGATCTCCGTGGAAGTGACCTTCATTATACTTTGCAATATGGCCTTTTTTGATAGTTATGCTGCTGCACAGAGCCCAGAAGTTTTTAACATTTTCTTTACTTCCCAAGTCTACCTTGTAATAAAATAACTGAGGACCACAACTCTGACATGCTCTTTTTCCATGTTTCAGCAACAGTGTGACTTTAATTTTTAGCGTGTTTTTCAGCTTTATCTAATTTCTTTTAACTGGAAGAAACATTTCTTAAAGTTGACCTTTTAAAAAACTTAGCCGATAAAACTGATTGCCCTTTAAATTAAGTAGCGTGTTTTAATCTGGGCTTGAATGAAATTATTTTTCTTTCAGAGTTGTTGACATTAAACCATAGTCATTAGCTTTTTTTCTAGTTCTATGAAGCAGAAAGTGTAGTGGTAAAACAGTAGTGTGACTCTAATCTTTTGACCACCCACCTCCTATCCGCCAGAGCCTCTGTTCTCATTTTCTTGTGAAAAGCCACAGGCATCTAGTGGTTCTGACCTCCCTGCCCCGGGTGAGCAGGGGTAACTCTAGTATAACTCTTGCCTCTCAAACAAATGTTTGAAATGTTGGTTACCCACGTCCTAAGCTAAAACATTCATTATAGACATTTATTTCAGAAAAGGCTTACCCGTCAAGAACATACAACCTAAAAATAAGTCACTTCATGTGATTCATATTTAAAAAAAAAAAAACCAATTTCATTAGTATTGCAATTTCCTAAGGTGAAATGTGCCAAATACAAAAGTATTAGATATTTTTTAAATAAAAATTAAGAAACTGTTTTCCCTCTCCCTGATTTAGAAAAAAGAAAAAAATGTGGGGTGGGGGGAGGGGAACAAAAAAGGAACAGCAAAGTATACTGGTAAGACGGCTGGATCTACAAAGAAATAACCTTTCCAACCCTCCAACCCATTCTCTGCTGTCTGCTTTCCAAACTTGAAGAAGTCACTTAAGATGTTAATCTATACATTTGTTCAACAAACAAAAAATGAGCCCCTTACGTCTGAGCAATGTCCTAGCAGTTAGAACAAAGACGGCTTCTTTCCCACAGTCCCTCACAACTCTGGGAATTCACAGTATGACAGATCTGATGCACACCCGGGGGCTCTGGGAACTCAGACTGGGGCTTTCTCCCTAGAGACTGTAAGACTCTAAGAATAAAAGCCGATCAAATCAACATGACAGGAAGCATTCCAAAATTCCAGATTCCACAAATCGAGTCTCATCTTTGTGAGCAACTTAATTTTAGAATATCTCTTCCTGTTTCTATAGAGAATTTCTTCTTCTAAAAGCCATACAGTTGACTGACTACAGGCCCAGCTTCCTAATGTAAGGCAAAACAGGCAAAAGGAAAACATGTGAACTGCAGGCTAGGACATGTTCAGTGTTGGCTCCTTTAGAAAAAAAAAAAAAAATGCTTGACTGAAACACACACACACACACAGAGCAATGGAGACAAGCAATTTTACAAGACAATTTTGAAAATAAATTTTTAAAACCGCACCTCTGACTTAAGGGAAAAAAAAGTATTGAACTAGAAGTCACAAATCACAGTAATCAAAAAGGTAAACAAAAGTCCAGACAGAACTTTATCAGCCAACCAGAAGGATTTCAATCACCAGCTTGGTCAGCTGATAGTCTGCGGCTGCTACTTGCATAATTAGACTTTGTAATGAATTACTGAGACGTCAAGTGAGATTTCACAAAGTGTCGTAGAAGTTCCCAGACAGACTGTGGGTATACACTTCAGATGATCTCAGGGGTAGAAGATTCCACAGCGTCTGTCATTAACCATCCCACTGCTTTCCCTTTAGTTAATGACCAGTCCATCCCTCCTGCCTGAATACAGATATTATGGAAGGGAAAAAAAGAATAAAGCGAACAGTTATCGTCTGTTTACTCTTTAGGATTTGAACTCAGGTCTGTACCTTTTTTTTTAAGTATGTCATGTGGCTTTTCTAAAGTAAGAAAGGGCTGATCTTTGGTTTGTTTGGGTTTTTTTTGTTTGTTTTGTGTTTTTGTTTTTTTTGTTTTTTGGGTTTTTTTTTTGAGACTGAGTTTTGCTCTGTCACCCAGGCTGGAGTGCGGTGGAGCAATCTTGGTAAAAGAGCTGATCTTTGAATGGAGTTTAATTTTTTCAGAGCATTTCCACACACTGGCATGCCTAGGAGATATTGAGATATTGTAAGTTCAGTTCCAGACCACCGTAATAATATAAGATTGCAATAAAGCAAGTCAAAATAATTTTTTGGTTCCCTAGTGCATGTAAAAGTTGCAAGTACACTACACTGTTGTCTATTAAATGTGCAATAATAGCATTATGTCTGAAAAATGTACATACTTTTATTAAAAATATTTTATTGCTAAAAATTGTTATCAATTATCTGAGCCTTCAGCAAGTCCTAATCTTTCTCCTGGTGGAAAGTCTTGCCTTAATGTTGATGGCTGCTAACTGATCAGAGTGGTGGTTGCTCAAGACTGGGTGGCTAAAGCAATTTCTTAAAATACGACTGCAATGAAATTTGCCACATTGATTGACTCTTCTTTTCATGAAAGATTTCTCTGTAGCATGTTATGTTGTTTGATAGCAGTAGAACTTCTTTTAAAATTGGAGTCAGTCCTCTCAAATCCACCTGCTGCCTTATCAACTAATAATGTAATATTCTAAATCCTTTGTTGTCATTTCAACAATGTTTATGGGATCTTCACCAGGAGTAGAGTCCACCTCAAGAAACTGCTTCCTTGCCTAATCCATAACAAGCAACTTCTCATTCATTAAAGTGTTTTCATGAGATCGCAGCAATTCAGTTATATCTTCAGGCTTCACTTCTAATTCTAGTTTTCTTGTTATTTTCACCACATTTACCGTTACTCCCTCCACTGAAGTCTTAAACACTCAAAGTCATTCATGAGGGTCAGAATCAACTTGTTTCAAACTCCAATTAAGGTTGATATTTCGACTTCCTCCCATGTTCTTAATGGCATCTAAAATGACAAATCCGCCAGGTGCGGTGGCTCATGCCTGTAATCCCAGCACTTTGGGAGGCCAAGCGGGCAGATCACCAGAGGTCAGGAGTTCGAGACCAGCCTAGTCAACATGGTGAAACCCTGTCTTTGTTGAAAAAAAAAAAATTAGCCGGGTGTGGTTGTGGGTGTAATCCCAG